ATCGATATGATGAATTTCCCAATCGTAATAGGCGGCAAGGGCAAATAAAACCCTATAAGTTGTAGGGTTAGACCCTATAGCGAAAGTCTGGAAATAATCGATTCCGTAACGTTGTTCAAAGCCTCTAGCCACAAGGCGGGCTTTATATTTATCGATTTTTCCATTAGGTAATAATTTCCGCTTAAATACCCATCTAGCCGTTATAGGCTGGGTTGAGGCTAACTTAGAATTTATAGCCTTAAAGGTGCCTTTAGAGATAAGTTGGGAAATCTCTTGATATATAGCTTTAAGCCATTTGTCTTTTTCAGGGCTTTTAAGAACCTGTTTAATAGTAGACGGTTCCTTAGTATAGTAACTAGAAAAGAGATAGTGAATAATATAGTTATTCTCTTTAATAGTTATATATTCCTCCTTGTTCTTAATAGAAGGAAGCCTGATTTCGATTTTGTTTTTAAAGTCTTTAGAGACTATAACGTCTTTAGAGACGTCTTTAGAGGGTATAACTTCTTTAGCTTCTTTAACGTCTCTAGAGACGTCTTTAGAAATACTAGAAGTAATGGATTTAGAGGAATCTTGAGCCTCTTGTTCCCCCTCTCTTATAGTATTTCGTATAAAACGAATATGAGTAGCCCTTATGATTCGTGATTTATAAGGCTTAGTAGGGCAGTATATAATATGAATATTCGTTGCCTCTGTATAGAGGTATATGCCCTCTTGAGTATAGGTATAAACCTTATTCGATTTGACTTGTTTTTCCTTAGGATAATATATATAGACCGAATCTCCTATGTTATATAAGGAAGATAAATCAGGTCGATTATCCTTATTAGGAAATATATAGTTGAAAAATGCCTCGTATGGTGTAATAGGGAGTCTTGAAGTAGCTGTATAGTTTAATAACTTAATAACAGCTTTAAAGACTTCATCCCATAGAAATAGAGGTAGTTTTAAAGCTAGTAATATAGTTCTAGCCTTTTCAACTATGATTCGATTTGCTCGTTCAGCTATACCGTTTTGTTCTGGCGTGTATGCAGTAGTAAGCTCTATAACTATCCCTTTAGGTTTAGTATAGGCTTCTAATTCGCTTATAGCGAATTCAGTACCATTATCAATTCGTAATGACTTAGGGTACTGGTTATACTGCGTATAATAATATTCTAGCTTATTTTGTATAAGAGATAAGATTTTATCCTTAGTAGGACTGAAATCTATATCTCTATAGCTAGTATAATCGTCAGTATATGGGATAGCGTAGATATTCCCAGCTATAGTAGAAGGCGTAATCTTAATCGTATCGATACATAGTCGATCGAGAGGTTTAGTAGCCCTGTTATAGTTAACTATAGACTGTTGTCTAGTTAACTTAGCTTTCTCACAGCTAGGGCACTGTAAATCGTCCTTTTTAAGCTGGTTGATAGGAATCCCCTTAGTTATCTTAGCTGTCTTATATAGGTAAGAGTAACTAGGATGTCCTAATTTGTTATGCCAATCCATAGTAGGATTAGTAGGGTTATTACCCTTAAGATTAGGGTTATTTTGACCCTTTAGACCCTTAGGGTTAGGGTTACCTTGTAATTCCTCAAAAGCCATATAGTTAGAGGCTTCAGAATCGGAAAGTTCATCGATTCTAGAGGATAAATCAACCTCGTTATAATTAGAGGTAGTAGACTTTTTAGTCTTATTAGTTGAGGAGGACTTATTCGTCTTCTTATTCCTCAAACTATGAATATCAGGTTCTAATTTCCCATATATAGATAGGAAAAATCCCCTTTTAGGGATATTTAAGGCAGCAAAGGCTTTGTGAGACGGGGTATATAAATAATTCCCGTTAATATAGCCTCCTGAGAGATAGTGCCTTAGACCTGAAATAATATTTATAGGGAAATCCGGTATATATAAGGCTTGTTCAAGCCTAATAGTTGACCTTTGACCTTTAAAGTAGAGCGGTAGGTCTATAGTACCTTGGCCCTTAGGTTTTATAGGTCCAGCGCCTGTTTTGACTTCTGGGAGGTTGTCTTTAGAAGTATAGGCTGTAAAGAATTCTCTACTGTTAGCTATGTGAACAGTAGAACCGGAATCATACAGCCACCAGTTCTTAGGACTAGAACTAGAACTAGGGCTATTAGGCCTCTTATTAAAGTAACTAGCATCAATCCCACTATAATATTCTAAATTATAGAAAGAGTAGGAGTTGCTAGGAGGCTGTTGGTTTTCTCTTTTATTATTGCCTTTAAAGGCATTAGGTCTATAGTTAGACCTCTTAGTCTTTTTAGACCGTTGTTGAGACTGTTGCCTATGGATATAGGAATTAGACATAGGGGTGTCCTCATCACGCCTATTTTCATCTAATATATCCGTAATAAGGGCTTCTAAAGTAGGTATCTCTTTAGAACGTAAGGCAGCCCTTTGCCTTTCAGCCCAAATAGGAAATGATTTTGATAAGGCAGCTATAAAGACCGTATTTTGGTCTATAGTCTCGATTTTTGCTCCTACAGAGGCTAATTTAGATAAATAAGCCTTAAAAGAGCTAATAAATAGATTTAAAGAGCTATAATCCTCGAATTTAATAGCGTGGAATTCGAGATATAGCTGTTGCCTTAGAACCGGCCCGGAACCTTCATAGGTATCCTTTAGTAACTTTAGGGCTTCTGCTGGGTCTTTATTATTAAAAACCAGGCTAAGAGGTTCTGGCTGTAAATTTTGCCTTATAACTAGTAAGGCTTGTGATTTTTGCTCTTCGGTTATAGCTGAATATTTCTCTTGATCCTCAAAGTATTGGGATAAATTCAGCAATTTAAAATAGATTTGAAGGGTAGTAATCCAGGTATTCCAGTTATCTATACCCTTTAATCGTTGATTTTCAGGCATTAAACAGCCTGTAACGGCTCTTATAGCAGTAGTAGTAGTCGTAGTAGTCGAAGACATATTGACTTTTAATAGGGTGCTTATTGCCCTTAAATATAGGGACTTATAGCCCTTGGGTACTTATTGCCCTTGAGATAGGGGACTTATAGCCCAAAAACTGCTTATAATATAGGGAATTTATCCCTTAATAGGCTGCTGAAGATACTAAGGAGCTATGCCTTGAGTAAATAACAGGTATTTTGCCTTGTTATTAAGTGCTAAGCCCTAGGATATGCCTTTATAATAGGGTATATAAGCACTAAAAGCAGCAAGTAATATCTTAGAATAATAGTTTCTAAGACGTAATCCCCTTAATAGTCTCGTATTTAGTAGTACTAAGGACTTACACTTCGTCTGCCTTAATAGTACTAGAATAGAGTTAAAGTTTTAGACTTTTCGTCTTAGGGGAATATAGCCGTTATAATAATAACCGTTATAATAATATACGGTTTAAAAGAATAATAAATATAAATTCCTAAAACTTATATCGTTTATAGGAATAAAATAGAGTTTAAGATATTTAATAACCGAAGAGTTGAGGATAAAAGAATAAGTAAAGTTATTACTCCGCTGGGCTCATAACCTGTTGGAACGGTAGGTAGGAATCTCGTAGATAGTACGATATCCTTATAACAGGGTATTAGAGTAAGGGAACTTGTACTTATGAAGTAGGGCTTTAATAGTAAAGAATGTATAGGCTTATATTGAAGCTGAGTTGGTTGAGGAACTAATAGCTAGCTAAGGGAGAGAATTAGGCTAGTTATATAGTAGTATAACGTCGCCTATAATAGCTAATATAGGAAGCTATAAGCTAGGTTTAGTATACGTAAGTATATACGTCAACTAGCTTATAAAGCAGCTTATAAATCAGACTAGAATCTTCTTTAACTAAATAGACTTTTAGATAAGGTTAAAGAGAGTATTCCATAGAGATCTGAATGTCATATGTTTAAACTAGCAAGCAGCCATTCTTAGCTAGTTACTTTTGTAAGTCCTACTAAGTCTTAGATAAGACTAAATAGGATAAATAAGTAAAATAGAAGTATAATATACTTATACTTCTAACATTTACTAATAGTACTAACGGCTACGACAACGTTATAAACCTACTTAACAAGGTACGAACCTGCTATATCGACGTCCGATACAAATAGATCATACAGGAGGTTTACACTGCGAAAAGCATCGAACTCCGACTTATCAAGGGCGCTGATATAGCCGCCGATAGACTTACGAAGCTACTGGTTACGGTTAAACACAAGGAATTCGTTCGTTTGTTAGGCATGGCGGAGGGATTAGATTAAGAGGGGGATTTTAAGACTATAAGACTATTAATATTAAGACTTCGGGATTCGGAGGATTTCACAGCCTCCTATTAGCTAGGTTTAACCGGTAATTAACCGAGTTTTCTAATAGTTAAGAACTCCTCGGATTTAGAGGATTTAGGACTTTTCCTATATTTCCTATTATTCTACTGCTTTTTCGCTGAGGAGTCTGAGAGGGGGTGTGGGTGGCAGGCCTCGCCGGCCCGTCACGTGGGCTGACGGCCGCCACCACTGGTCTTAGCCAGCCTCCACAGCCCTCTAGCCAGTTAGTTAGTTCTTCCAACCAACAACACCACTTTTCCCATTCTGAGCGTTCTGTGCCGGTTCTCGCCCACATCAGTTGACAAGGCATGGTTATCATAGATCTAAGCTGTCATTTGTAGCTCCTTTGCTGTTTTTGTCACTTCCTAGTGGATGTAATGAGGTTGAAGTTGAGTTGAGACTGAATGAAGATTGTGATTGGAACATCAATAGTGAGTGGGGTATCCGATCGCGTGGGGAAGCTCACTACAGATATTCGAACTGTCATCTCAACTTCCATGCCTTCCAATTTAAGCAGCTCGACCCAACTTCAGGTCAGCTGAGACTGGATTCCATTGAGGCCTCTTACTTACTGGAAATCCATGTTCCAATCGATTAGACGAATTCAAGGAATCGAACGACAACAGTATCCGGTGAATCTTATTTATTACACGCCTCGTAAGCGCCCTGCATCACTTGGCTGGTAACACAACGTCACATCCCTCAAAGATACCTCATCTCCTTGCCAAGATGCCACCTCCGCCCGACTTGTCCCACTACATTCTCCCAGAATCCGACTCCCGCCGCATCTTTACCACCCAAATCCTCCCGGCTGATCTCCCGCTCTCTTTGACCCCACACCCCACCCGGTCTCGGCCCTTGGCCGTGCTCATTGTCGGCCAAACCGGTGCCGGCAAGACCCGTACTGCACCCGCCATCCTCTCTGCTATGACCCGTATCAACCCACCCGCACACTTTATCGCAGATGTCTACAAAGCCCATCATCCGTCCTACGGTACCTTGCTATCCTCTGAGAACCCCGCGCACGCATCACCGGCAACGGGCCCTGACGCGCGAAAATGGCTTGCCATGGCGTCAGCGGAGGCTATCTCCCGCAAGCTGGATGTGCTGCTCGAGAGCGCGTGTCGGCATCCTAACGACTTTCGTGAGCTGGCGAGTATGTTTGGGGAGGCAGGTTACTTTGTCGAAGTAGTTGTGATGGCAGTCCCTGCTGCTCTCAGTAGGCTAGGCATATTGCATCGGTTCTACGAGAGATTGCCTGAGGCGGGGAGCGGAAACTTGCCTGTTCGGCTTACACCTGTCAAGATTCATGACGACTCCTATCGCGGGCTGATGAGCGTGGCGGAGTGGATTGACAAGGTGGACTGTGTCGATCGGGTACTGGTGGTGAGGCGAGGGAACATGGTTGCTTTCTCGGATGAGAAGGCCAAGTTTGGTGGACTGAGTGGCAAGGTCGCCGAGGCTCTATCACGAGAGAGAGAGAGGCCCTTACCTGCGGACGAAAGAAGAGTTGTGATGTTAGATCTGGAGAAATTGGAGACCCGAGATGCGAAGCTGGCGGAGGAGGTCAAGAGCCTGCTTGAAGGGCTGCTAAGAGACGAAGCACATGAATACTCTGAGTTACGCCCATTAGAATTTCCACCCAACGGGCGGAGAGATGCGACGCTGACGTTGGGTGAAGCATGAGGAGTTCTCATGGCACTGGTATGTCAAATGTGCAGCGAAGCATTGAAATCCGGGTTCAGACACGCGACCCAAGGTTTGTTCAGGAGACATACACAAGACAGATCGCATACAGCAACCAAAAAAAAAAATTTCATGTTGAATTTTTACCTCATTCTTGATATTAACACATACGAGCTCACCGATTTAGATGTACGAATCTGATATGTAGTGAAAAAGCCATTTAACGCCCCTCCCAAGCAAACCATGTAAAATGTGAAAATCGATTCAGATATCTGCTGTAGCTTTAAGCTTAAATCATTCCTGGACTACGTCTTTTGGGAAACGAGGCTCACTACCATCTTTTGTTGGTGAAACAAGGCAGATCAGATCAAATTTGGCTGAGGGGCAACGGTGACTATGACATAGCCGCCGAAACCTTCAGAAAGGTATGCTGGAGTATTTTCTCAATTCGTTAAGATTTGAATATCCCTTTGACATACTCAGTCTCGATTGGTGCCCATACTGGTTTTTGCTCATGTTCAATCGAGTGGTATCTAGGGTGCCGTGGGTAATGATGATAATTAAAGCAAGTTACCTGTATAAACGCTGCCATAGAGAATTGACCTTTAGGTTCGTTTTTCACAATGACCCCAAAACTAGCGATAAGTTATGGGAAGCTTAGTTAAAACGACGAACCTGACAAGGCACACGTGAGAAGTGGAAAGCTAAATACTTGGGGGATCAAGATCTTAGACTCTTCTCATGTGGCAGGAAGTTGAACACAATATGACTAGATGTTTGAGGCCAAAAATGGAGTGCTTGTTCTACTAGTAGATATTAGGTGAGTGATAAGGCATCTTTTTACTACGCCTTTTGATGATGTCAAGTTCTGGCACAATATGCGTACAAGACGGCATTTGTGGTAACTGGACGCCGGAGCCCCCCACTGAAAGCAGGTACCTCCGTTGACAATTTCAGCCCGGGAGGCATACGGAAGGCGAGCAGCTTCCACTGTACACACCTGCCGGTAGGTGAGAAGTATCCACCGTAGGTACGTATCTCGCTAAAGCGCACACTTGATGGGCCAAAGCTCTACCAGGCCCTGGCAAGCGAGGTTGTTCTGTGGAGTGGAGCGCTGTGAGGTCACACCAAAGCCCCGCGATGAGAATCCCACGTGACGGAGAAGGGTTTTCTGCCCTACAGAGCTCGACCACTAAAACTTCCCCTCCAAGCCTGCTCTTGGAGAAGAACATCATCACCAACACCTCTCATCTCAAAGGACAAGTAAGTGCAGCCCCCCCCACCCCAACGGCCATCGGCACGCGACAGGCGCAGGGTCGGCGAAAGTTCCGAGCCCTTTTCCGCGCGCGATTGGCCAAATCTTATTGCAGGGGAGCATTAGCTAATTGGCAAAACAGTTTCGTCGTTACGATGAGAGCCAAGTGGAGAAAGAAGCGCGTTCGCCGTCTCAAGCGTAAGAGAAGAAAGATGAGGGCTCGCTCGTAAGTTTTTTTTGCGAAAAAAACAGCAGTTTTTTAATGCACGTGGTCTGACTTTCCGGCAGCAAATAAACAACTCGCACCTCCGCCTCGACCATGACCATCTTTTAAGATGACGACATGCAACGCCATCATGCGACTCGCGCAACAGAGGTGTAATCGCCAGCTTCTGTCACCAGCGACTCAGTCTGTCTCGCGAACCGGGACGTCGACATTCACCACGAACTAGAACAACGGGACTTGGGGTCATGATGGGATGATCAGGCATGCACTTTTGGCAGACCTTGATGAGGATTCAATGAAGATGGACCAGCCAACTACGGTCGAGATGACGCTATGATGAGGATGTGGTGTTTAGGACGGCCTTGGGAAGCATGATGTCTTGACGCAACGCGGATTAAGAAACGGGATCAGGACGTGCATGACAATTGAAAGGCAGAAACTTGCTTCCTCAAATCAATCATCAGTGAAACCAATTATCTTCGTTTTTTTGCATCGCGCCGTGATTTTGTGATTGACCTGTTATTTTGCGGGAATGAGTAGTGGCTGGAATTTCTCTAGAGCTCTTGCTTAGTTCTTGCTCCTCGTCAATTGAGTGCGCCAAGCTGTGACGTTTGCAAAGCTCTGAGTGGGGGTTTCCATCTGGCGCATCTGCTAGCGTCTTCGCAGGCTCCGCTAACCCCTACACCGCCTACCATTTCCAGCGGACATGTGGGCGGGTAAACGCCGGTCTGCCGACATTTTTTTTTCTGAGATAGGCCTATAGAAAATATTTCCCGTAAAACGGCAAGCCCATCCCACGTAACGACCGACCATCACCAACTATTTTTGCCCGGCAAACGGATCTTGTAACCATGGCGGACCCCAGCGGACGGAAGAGAAAGCGCGATGTCGGCGGCTCCTCCAAGTCGAAAAAGAAATTTGCCACTGACGGCTCTGCGCCGTCTAAAGTCTCTGTCTCCTCGGTTCTGAGACCGCAACTATGCCCGCCAGTTCTTGGTACGACGACTTCTTGCGATTGATCCTTCCGATTGCGTCTTGAAGTAATTGCTGATGTTTTGTACTTAGCTTCTTCTCCCGGAGTGCGGATATCTAAGAACATCCCCTTTAGCCCTTATGTCAAGCCTGAGACTACCTCCGGCAAACGGAAACAAAAGACCCCCGCAGTGTCCCAGGACCTGATTTTGCACTCGACTAGCCACCAAACCATGGATTACACGGCGAGAGAGGACGGTATTAGCGACTCGCAGCAGGCACTCAAGCACTATGTTGGAGTTTTTGATCCCAAGACCGGCAAACTTGAGGTGGTGGAAGCCAAGAAAATGGTGGTGCGTGGGGTGGCCAGGGCTAAGCAGGCATCAGATGAGGCCATGACAGCACCGGCAGACTACCAGGTTTGTTTTTCCCTATTCTCTGAATGCTTCGACCTCCCACTGACCTGGAACAGAGCTACTATGCCCTGAAGACCGACCTTGGTCAGACTTTCGGTACAAGAAAGGCGAAGAAGGCTATTGAAGCTGTTACCCTCAACGCTATCGATCCCAACAAGGGCAAAGAAAGCACGCCTCGGAAGCTCGATACTGCCTCGAAGGCGATTCTGCAAGAGATTGGCGGTGTCACGGCGACCATGGCATCCCGGGAGCAGCTCCAGGCTGCGGTCGACGAAGCCAAGCCTGTGCCTCGGCCCAACCTCGAGGCCGACGCTATCCAAGATGTTTACGATCCCGACGAGTTTATTGGACGCGAGGTTCTCGCTGCTATACCTATCAAGGACTGGGTGGAGCCTACGAAGAAGGGCGAGGACGTGCAGGTGTACTCCAGACATGTCGCTGCGCGTGTCAAGAAGATTGTCGACACGGGTAACGTCAACAAGATACGCCTGCTGCGCTACTTTTACTTCCTCTTCCTCTTCCATACAATGGCGCAGCCTGGAAAGCAGCGTGGTACGAAGCGTATCCCCCCCAGGGATAAGCTTAAGGAGCGACTGTCCCCCGCGCCCCAAGCCGTCATTGAGCACATTCGACGCAAGTTCTCGGATGGCGGTGAGATGCGCAAATTTCACAACGATCTTCTCATCACACATTGTTGCGCGCTTGCGTGTATCATTGACAACTTTGAAGTCGACACATCTAAGCTTCGCGAAGATCTGCGCCTCGACCAGAAGGATATGAACAACTACTTTTACGAAATTGGCGCACGAGTTAAGCCTGTCGCCGGCAAGGAGAAGGGCAAGCAACACCATGTAGCTAAGTTGGCGCTACCGTTGCAATTCCCCAAGATCAGATCCATCGCACCAAAGCGTCGTTAGAAGAGTGATGAGGACGATGATGATCTGATACGAGTGAGGTCGAGGGGGATCAGGGAGCGAATTCCCTTCCGGCGAGTGTGAGAGTACTTAGTGCCTCTCACCGATGGCAATTGCACTTTTCATTGGCATTAAGGAGGATACGATGCTACTTGCTGGGCACCTCTTGCCCAGCATTGATGTCTGTTGAAGCATTTGAACAACAAGAATGCTTGCGGCTGTATTGACGATACCTCTACACTATTAAACCAGATAGAAGAGTGTGAATTGTGACACACTAGCCTATTGTTGATGAATCCAAAAGTTTTCCTTCATGAACCAGACGTGTCGCGCTGTATCAACTACTCAATTACCGAAGTATGAATCAGAAGCGTTAACGCAGGCCTCTGTTGTTAACCTGGAACCAATTCCCGACGCCATGGCCGAAGGGGCCAACAGCAACCGAAGGGTGCTGGGATTCGACGCTAATCCCCGCAGTACCATCCCCGTCTCAGTCCTGCCGAGGCATCTCGGTGCAGTGTGTGGGGTCTGGGGTAGCACCAGCACCTCTTGGAGAGCTTGCAAGAATAAACACCTTGCTCTTGCGTCCCCCGATAGCCTACCTTATTTCACCAGTGAGCATTGTAATTGTTGTCTAGATAGATATCTTGCTTTCAACCCATCCGCACGAAAACAAAATCACAAGGGGATAAGCACATTCTCAAGCGTAAAGAAATATCAAGACGCAATGGCCAGTCCCGAAGACCCCGTCATCTCTCTCGAGTACCGTGGCCGGGTCGCGCTGCTCACTATCGAAAACGACCGCAAGCTCAATGCCCTCTCACAGCCGCAGTACTATGATCTCGCTCAGAAACTGCGCGAAATCGCGACGCACGATGAGGTTTTCATCACCGTTCTGACAGGCAAGGGCCGCTATTTCTCAGCGTAAGTTTCCCCGGTATTTTAAGCTCTGTCTCATTCCTTCATCATAATTCAACACATGGCCACCTTATCTCTCCTAAGTTCAGTGACGATTACTTGAGTTCGGAAGCTACCACGACATCTATTGGCCTTGAACAAAACTGGTATTGACGATGACCAAAACGCTGACAATACGCCTAGCGGCGCGGATGTGACTATCGCCCGCGCTTCACCCTCGGGGCCGGATGCCCACAAACACTGGCTTCAAGGCTTCGTCGCCTTCAATCTGAACATCACCCAGGCCTTCTACACGCACCCTAAAATCCTTGTCGTCGGTCTCAATGGGCCGGTAATCGGCCTTTCCGCTGCACTTGTCTCTTTTGCCGATTTCATTTACGCTACGCCATCAACATTCCTCCTGACGCCCTTCTCTTCTCTGGGCCTCGTGGCAGAAGGAGGCGCCTCTCGTGCCCTCATCCAGCGCCTCGGCATCAGCAAGGGCAACGAGGCGCTGATTATGAGCAAGCGCATTTCTGCGGAAGAGCTCCTACATACCGGTTTCGTGAACCGCGTGTTTGACTGCGGCAAGGGTGAGGATGAGAAGTTCCGAGATCTGGTCCTGAAGGAAGTTGACGAACGGTTGGGCGAGCATTTGATCGGAGACAGCTTGACGGGAATCAAGGCGCTCATCAGAAGGCCCGAGATGGATGCCATGGACAAGCAGAATTCACAGGAGGTGTTTGCAGGAATAGAAAGGTTCATGAAGGGAATTCCACAGGAAGAATTCCGCAAGATTGCGAGCGGTGAGAAGAGACACAAGCTGTAGATACAGATTAAGATATCAGAGAATCTTTGTGGTTGGAAGGAGAAAAATCACGAAATATCTGTATTTAAGACAATGATGTTCTATCCTTTTTCCACATCGCCTCATATCTGGTACAAGCAATCGATTGAAGAACTGGGTTAACCGGGTATCTATACATCATGATGAGAGCAGGCCGAAGAGCAGGCTTGTCTTCTTGTGGTATTCTTGCGACGACTTGGTAATTCGTTGTCGCGCCTCACTGCTGTCCAATCCCGTGCGCTCGTATATTTTCTCTTTCAAATCCTTGAACTCGTCGCCCTTGGTCTCCGAAGAGGCGTCAAGATAGCAACCAAGGAGGGAGATGTCGAAGAGCCACTGAATGAAGAGGTCGCGGCGCTGCTGAGCAACGTCGTCCATTTCCGACACTGCCGCAGACGTAGTAGCCTCGTCCTCCTTGGGTTTCTTCTCCGCTTCTTCTGTCTTATCTTCTTCCTTGTCCTCCCCGTCTTTCTGCTCGTCGACTTTGCTCTCCTTGTCGGTTATGTTTTCATCTTCCTTCTCTTCGGAAGGCTTCTCGTCTTCGTTCTCATCCGAACCTTCTGCAGACTCCTTAACCTCTGCCTTCTCTGAGATATATTCGGATGAAGCCTCCGGCTTCTCATTGTCACCATCAACATTCGTTCCTTCCGAGTTATATGTCGCCAGTGCCTCGAGCCATTTCTCGCCAATTTGCTTCCGGAGGTGCTGCTTCATGACACTCACAGCCACGGCACTCCACAAATCCATGCCAGCATCACCCATTTCCGTTGAGACATCCTTCAAAAATCGGAAAACCCTTGGGGACGGCTGCGTAGGCAGCTCAGGACTACCCTCCCACAATGGACGCGCAAGAACAACGTTCTGCGTGAGTGCCTTTGTGGCAAAAATTTGCAGGGGGTTGGCGGCGACAGATTGTGCAAGCTTCTCATGGAGCGAAGGTACCACTGTCAGCCCAAAGTCCTTGACCGCGTCAAGCTTCGGGAGTCCCTGTCGCACATCTCGGAGAATGCGGAGGAGGTACATAGCCACCTTGCCGCTATTAGGAGCATCCGCTCGTATCTGCCATAGACTCGTCAGCTTCTCATCTAGGCTTTTGAATGCCTTGACGAGGTTAGAGTCAAGCTGCTCGTGGAGCATCTTAGGGTCATCCTTGCTCAGTAACTGCTGCCGCTCTTCGATTGTTTCCTCATCCTCGATCTCATCAATGTCGTTGTCCCAGCGCTGTTTCTTTAGCTGCTCCACGACGTGGCCAACTTCGTCGATAATTTGCCTCCACGAGTGGAAGGCGTTGACAGCCTTAGAAACGGAGTCGTTACGGCCGTGCAGCCGTGCAACCAGCTCCTGCAGGAAGTGGTCTGCTCCGTTGATCAAGTCAATATCAAAACTGCGTACATCCCAAAGACTGATAGGCTGATCCGTTACTCCATCCTGCCACGAATCTAGCGTTGCCGTCACCTCAGATCCAATAAGATGTAGCTTGTTGACCTTGATCTCAAGGACATGCAGCATATGACCGTTGATAGCGCTGCGCAACTCGTCCAGCATCTCGGAAGGGTCGAATCCCCTGGCCTTACCACCTTCCCGGATCCAGAGTTGCAGCACGCTAGTACGCAGTTCCGTGATAGACTTAAAGTCCATCATGCGCTCCATTGTCTTCTTAAGTCCATTGACGAGCACCTTGCCGCTCTTGTCTGCCCAGTCAAAAAGCATGTCTCGTGCCTGAGGGCCATCCAGATCGTCGTGCCGTATGAATGGTGTGAAGCATTGAATATCTTCTCCACACCATCGCTCATATATATCCAGGCGCAGATTTTCTAGCTTTTTAAGTGATGGGTCTGCGAGCAGCGGGTTCTTTTTGAGGTTGGAAAGGGCGTCTGAGAGCTTGAATGGCACAAGAGCTTGTACGTCCAGCAGTGTCTTCGTGTACAAGTTTAAGCTTTTGAGGATATCTCCCGTGCCGCCCTGCCGCTCGTTATCCTCGGCTTCAAAAGCCATAGCCATAGCAGACTTTCTAACGCCAAGAAAGAGTGTAAGGACGTCGCTGGCGCCGGAGCTTGTAGCCAAACTGTGAGCACACAACGCCTTCAGAACATCCTGCTGATTGATGGAATCGCCGGCACGCTCCAGCAGGCCCTTGATGTTTCGCAAAAGCCGCTTCTTCGAACCAGCAAGACTCTTCTTCGCAGCCTCAACAGCATATCCGACATCCCCATTTAGTGTCTTCTCCTCCTCCAAGCTCTTGGTCAGAAGCCTACTTAAAACCAAGACCTTGCTTGCAAGAACCAATCTATCTCCTCTGCTCAAACCTAGGCTACCAGCCCCAGAGCCCTTGAGCACGCGGCCCAAGACAAGGCCGCAGGCTTCAAGCAGTCTTGCCCTCGCAACGACACCCACATCGGCACGACTTTGTTCTGTTATATTGCTCTCGAATTTGCTCAGCCCAGAAACCTTGGAGCCAACGACTCCGCGCCCGCAGCGCCCGCCCATACGGCCAAGCACCCCCTGCACGGCGTCGTTATCCTTGCGCATCTGGACTATGGTGTCGGCAGTACCGAGAAGATCGCGGTAGGAGCTACCGACCTGCGTGCGCAGGCGGCTCGCCTTCTCATCGATTTCGACATGGAGAGACTTGTGGATCGCTCGGATCTGGGGGAGGGTGTAGTTGGAGGAGAAGATTTGGGCGGAAGAGGTAAGGGTTGAGAGATCGGGGGTAGCCATGTTGGTATTGGCGATCGTAGTGGAATACTATTAATGGTGCATCAAGAATTGTTTAGTTTTTATTCGTCAATTGAAGATTCTTTCGGAGCCAAGTGCTCCTTTGCGCCAGCGTTGCGGCACTTGCCCTTTGTTGGACGTAGAATGGTTGTTGAATGGAAAGTTGAAGCTGTTCTGGCCAGATGGAACTTGGTGGGGCCAGCTGTCTTGGAGCTTTGGCACTTCGTAAGCTGTTTAGATTGGACTGGGAGCAATTGCACACATCATGTCAATTAAATCGTTTGTTACAGTGTACACAAGAAAAAGCCTTTTATAACTACGATCCCAGGTCTTGAAAACTTTTTGAAAACTCCAATTGTATTATGCAAACCCAACATCAGCCAGGCTTTACAATTTTCTCGCCCTGACAATACCCGTTGTGATACCCGACAGCTCACCACCGTAGCCGCCCTTGGGTTCACCTCCCTTCCACACGGGCTTCATGCTCCTCAACTTCTTCTGCTTCTCCTCGTACTTCATCCTCTTCTTGACACGCGGGTTGCGTACCTCCTTCTTGCGCTTCGGCGTAAGACCCTTGTTCTTCTCAATTGCGTACGTGATCTTGCGCTTGCCATCCTCCCCAACGATCTCCTGCTCGACGACACGATCCGCCTTGCGGGCCGCCGCGAGCGCGTCGTAGAATGCCGTCTTCTCATCCTTCTTCTTCTTGCTCTTGGCAGCGACCATGTCGTAGTACTCGTCATCGCCGTCATCCCGGAGAGCGGCGGCCGTCTTGGCATCGTTTTCATCGCCGCTGCCGTCATCCCCAAGATCCGCACCAAACTTGGAACCCTTTTGACCACGGCGTTCGGCTTCGGCGTTGAGACGCGCCTGGCGGTCTCTGAGACGCTCGCGGTAGGGGATATCCATGTCGCCGCCAGCGTCGCGACCGGCGTCGGCACGCTTGTTGGCCTTTTGCACAATTTGTGAAGTATAGAAGCGTAAAGACTTCTTGCGAGCGGCTTTGTCGGCGGCTGTACGGGCGTCGAGTATCTCTTCCTCGCCAAAATCGGAGTTGTCGTCATCATCCGCGGCCTTGGCGGCCTTCTTCGCCTTCTTGCTCTTCTTAGACTGGCTGAGAAGGTCATCAAGGTCGGCAAGTGAGTCCTCGACGACCTGAGCTTGCTTCTTCTTCGCCTTAGCCGCCTTCTGCAGCTTCTTTTGTCTCCGAGCCTCTTCTCTTGCCGCGGCAAAAGCAGCTTCGTCTTCGTCCTCCTCGGCAACCGGCTCCTCTTCGGAAACATCCATGGAGTCAACTGGTTGAGCTGGTGTCACGCTCTGAACTTGCTGCCATGCCTCGCGGCACTCGAGAAGAGTCTCCATGACATCATGGTCGCGGAGCTCGGCAGGATCCAAAGTCTTCTGCGTTGACGATCCGTCCCGTGCTGGCGATGTGAGAATTGCAAAGTAGCTCGCGAGAGCAGCGACGTAGCAACCTAGTATCCAGTATCTAACCGCCTCAAGCGATTGGCTTGACTTTCCGTGTGCCTCCTTTTGTAGCGTAACAAGCTTTGGTTGCAGCTCCTGGAATTCATTCACGAGATGCTCAAATTCAGGGTACCTGCTTTGGAGCATTTTCCTGCGCTCTTCAGGGCCCATATCATCCGTGATCTCAATATCCTTGAGAACCTCGGTGACAACCTCCTGTTCTTCCGCCTCATCTGGTTTCGATGCCAGCCACTCCCCTTCGTCGAATAGGAAATCTTCTTCGGACATCTTGGCCAGCTTCTTTTGCTGCAGGCGCTTGGCCTCAGCTTCCTCTTCAAGGGCATCGGCCTCAGTCTCGATCTGGTCGGCGTTATAGTATTCTTTCTTCGAAGAACCCCACCAGCTCGGGTCAGCCTCATCCCCTTCCTCCTCGCCCTCTTCATCGGACTCAGGTGCAGCCTTGCCCTTCTTGGACTTGCGGCTGGCCTTTTTGGTGTCCTCTTCTTCAGAGTCGTCACCATCATCGAGATCCAGAATCTCCTCGTCCGAGTGCTCCAAAAACTTGTCCTCTTCTTCAGCCCTCTTTCTCCTCTTCGATTGTGGGCCTTCGTCGAACATGATCTTGTCTCGGTTAATGAAATACTCGTCCTCGGAATCGGCGACATCTTCGTAAGTGGTGATGGGGCCCAGGCGAGCGTCAGCGGGGTCGAGCTCTTTGGGGCCACTGCGAGCAGGCGCCGATGCCTTTCTTTTCTTCGCCATGATTGTATGTTCGAGTGCGCGCCTTTTCAGTATCTCAAGCACAGTCCACGGGGAGGAAGTTGGCAAGCTGCGACGCTGATAAAAACTGTTGAGGCAGGCTTCAGAGGAGGGCGGATTCGCACTGAAGCTACCAGCAGCGAAAAATGTTCTTGCATTTGCGCAGAACTTTTTAGTGGATACAAGTAGTGGCGTCGACTATTATTGGTTCACTCAAAGTCAGTCAATAGTGGGGTTTACTCCACAAGCAGTCGCTGGAACCCACACTTGGACTTGACATTGAAAGCCATCGACTGTTTTGTGAGAGTGCTTTCCATCTTCGTTCAGCCATACCAGAAGCTTTTTTCATGTGAATAGTGCATGTTTCAATGTAAATACTCCGCTGTTTACAACATTAATTTACTTCCACAAAATGACCTCTGTTGCCGCGTCTTATAAGGATATGCTAAACTAGCCAACTTGTTAAACACCTGCTATAATAGTATAAGAAGAAGAAGAAGAAGAAGAAGAAAATCACCGTGGCGTAGTTCAAACAAGCAAGGTAGTAGTAGTACATTGGAACTGTACACTCTGCTGGTGGCCACCATTTCAAAACCGGTCCTAGGGGTCCGGCTCCAGCCTGGCCATGTGGTATTCGTTTGTGCATGCTCAAGATAAGCCTCACAGGGGAAACACCCACTAATACCGCTGAACATGCCCCCACCAAGACGGAATCCCAATCGTTAACCGTTCCTTCCGCAAATCCACTAAGCCACATCGGAACCGCAGCTTTGGCCTCCTGAGATTCGTGCGTTCAGACTGCTGCAAGACAATCTTCCTTTTTAAGCCGAAGGCATCCTGTACAATCAGAACCCCGCGTCAATTGATTGTGATTAAGACGATCCATTTCTGCTCTGGCCGGTATGGAAATCTCTTCACAACTTCTGTGGATAGCTTTGCCTGGTCTTGCTGCCCTCCTCATCGCCTCTACCATGGGCCTATTTAGTCGAAAGAACCACATGCCCGTCGATGGCAAGGTAACCAAGCCAGCCCTTTGACATCGCCGCAGCATCAACTAATGCTCAATTGCCTAGACCATTCTTCTGACGGGCGCTTCGGAGGGAATGGGCCGCTGTGTCGCCCTCCGACTTGCCGCAAAGGGCGCGAACCTCGTTCTTGTCGCTCGCAACCCAGCTCGGCTCCAGGAACTTGTGAGTGAGTGCAAGTCCGCCGCCAAGCATCCCGCGACCCAGCGCTTCAAGTACATCGTTGCCGATGTCTCCCTCGAGAACTACGCCGCTCCCGTGATTGCCGAGGCTACCGCATGGAACGGCGGCCGCAGCCTGGATATTGTCTGGTGTATCGCGGGCATGGCTACTACCGGCTTCTGGATTGATACTCCATTTTCTGCCACACGCCGCAACATGGATGTCAACTTTTACGGAACGGCTGAGATGGCGCATGCTATCCTGCGCGAGTGGCTTGCGCCTGATGCTCCTGTCGAGGACGAACCAAAGCACCTTATCATGACTACCAGCGTTGTGGCCTTCTTCACCGTTGTGGGATATGGGCCGTATGCCTCGTCAAAGTGGGCCATCCGTGCTCTTGCGGATACACTTTCCCAGGAAGTGCTGTTATATCCTCAGAATGTCAAGATCCACGTGGTGTTCCCCGGGACTATCACCAGCCCTGGGCTGGAAAGGGAGAACATAACCAAGCCACAGATCACGCATCAGTTGGAGGAGCTTGACCCTGTGCAATCGCCAGAGGATGTTGCTGATTTGTCCATTAAAGGGTTGGAGAGAGGCGAATACTTTGTCACTGTTGCTTTCCTCGGCAGCCTCATGAAGTGGAGTGGCCTTGGAGGTTCTTTCCGAAACAACTGGATCGTTGACACCTTTATGATTTTGATTACTCCTTGGGTCTGGATGTTCATACTGCCCGATTTTGTGCGGCAGTGCACGAGCTATGGAAAGAAGCACGGTCACCCTGCTACCTATGCAAAGCCCAGGGCAAGCTCGTAAGAGGGCGATGTTTAGCGTAGACGACGATTGATACCCATAATCACAGTTACAAAACACCATCTGTTTTTGATTCTCATTTGTATATGTCCTTGAATAATCCGGATGCTCGCCGTGTGTATAGCGATGCTCCTCTCCATTATCTTAACATCGCCTTGAAGGGAGCATGCATGCCTTGCCCACGGATACAACTAAAACAAGCACAGCGGGTAGGGAGTGGGAAGGGAACAACCGCACTTAGGCAGTTGGGAAACACAAGTTTAACGCCCGACAGCATAAGAATTCCGAATGGTGGAAGCTTTGATCCGCATGTGTTTAATGTGACATTGTCTCCTTCGCAACATGACCCGCAAAGGGTTCAACTCATGGTCGCCTATTCTTCTGGGAGAGCCATTCACACACTTTCTACTTTCCGAGGTGGTACGATACTCAAATAAATAGCCTTTATAAAAAAAGGTATAAATTAGTGTTCTCTTTATCGTTACTTGACTTCGCCTTACACACTCGAAGCTTACAACAGCCTGGTTATTGGACTCGAAAATTTTCTCGAGTTTGGCATTCACGTACCTTACTAGTAACATAAGTTCGTTTCCTAAACTCAAATATACAAGAGAGTGACGATTGCTATTTTCATCTTGTTATACAGCGGCCATGTTGGAGGTCGTCTCTATCTATTGTCTTGCAAATACAGAACAATTATATGCCGTATGTATCACTGGCGTCCTAGACATAGGGTTTAATCAACCACGAGACAACTGTTCTTTCTAATTAACAGGGGATTCTCGATACAAAGTTATCATGGATTGCAATTTCTGCCGAGAATGTGGTCCAAGAGTTTGTGGTGAGATAACGTGGTGTTGACGCCACGCGGGTACCTGAACCCAGGGTCTAGGATCCTCCGGCTCAAAGCGATCTCAAATTTAAGTAGCGCACTTCTGGATACAGCAGATGATCGTATCTCCCCAGGAGGCATGCTTAAGCTTTTGTTACCCGTAGATAGATGTTATCCGCGTTTCGCAACTTCATCTGTCACCTATCCTAAATAACCTTCTTATGTGAGATGAATATCCACTTTGATAAAGCGCAATGTACTTAGCTATCATAAGCTATAACAATTGTCACTCAACCAAGCATTATTCACCAAAAATAATCACAACATGCTGAAGTCACCAGATTCCTCTCAAACAAGGACGATGCAGCTTGGAGCAAAGATCATCTTCAATATCGATTCCGTACGATCAACTCCAACGGCTTCGCTGGATAAGTTTACGAACTTAAATATAGAAACAACAACTACTTTAAAAATATAAAAGTTCGTGGGCTTGGTAAGGACAATCCCATAACTAGAATCAAAAACCCTATTCGTACTGTGCATGGCGATCTCATCATTGAACTGTCTGCCATTAGTTTGATGATAGCCAAACTAAGAAGTTGTAGACTATCAATGGGAGAGGAAAACAATTAGATAGAAGGTCAATGCCCCTTGGCGTAGCAAAGTTCTTGCGCCAGAATGCTGTATTATATCTAGGGTATCTTGCAGACGGCTTGTTCTCACCCATCCATTCCAACTCTCTACACACCGCTCCACTTTCCAAACTTGGTATACCGCCTATACATCTCCCTCAAAATCGCTCTGCCACTAGCATCCATGCTGTCGTTAAGAATTTTCCTCACCTCAGGTGGCGTAATGCTAAATATAGAGTTCATGCCCGGCTCAAGTGCCTCACGGATGTCCCTAGGCACATCGACATCGAGCTGCATCTTGACATAAGCCATCAGGACAAGGTACATGTGCCGGCCGGCAGACCTCTTAGCCGCATCGGTAGCAGAGTCAAGGGCACTCAGATGCTGTACACGCGAGACAGCGGCGGCAGCGGGTTCGCACACCAGAGTAACGAGGCGGGTAAACTGCACCGCGTGCGTTGCGCGTACGGACGTCTGCGCCGAGGAATGGGCGAGTGCACAAAGGAGGGCTTCGAGAGTGGCTATGAGAAGGTGATAGTGGCCCTCAAGACGGAGGCGGTGTTTCTTGATGATCACCTCCATGAGCTTGCAAAGCCACTGGCAGGTACTGGGGGAACTCTCGACGAGGTGACCTGGGTCATTCGCCACGACTGACGCCACTGCGCTCAAGGTAGCCTCGATGTTCCACTGGGTCATAGAGTTCGACTTAATGTCAAGAAGTTGTTGGAGGACTTCGGCTGTTCTCACGAATTCACGCACAGTCTTCGCTTTGGTCAGGTATCTGACCAGTATCCCGTGAGCAGTCGCGAGATCGAAGTCCTTAGACTTTTCCAGGCCGGTTGGTGCTTCTAAGTGGGTTGATTAGCTTGGATAAAGATACCTAGCGCCGTTAAGACTTACCATTCATTTGGGCAACGACCCGACGGATAGCCAGAAGCTGGCCTTCCATGGAAACATCGGTTTTGGTAGCAGAATCTTCTTGAATACCTTCGAGAAGGCTCTGGATATAAGCCACTTTACCGTTGTGGTCAAGGCCAGCGACAACGGCATCAACTGATTCTTCCAAAACAGATTGCCGATTGAAGTCTGATAGAGGATCGGGAGCTGTTCCGCTAGGTAGAGGTGTAGACAGCGCGCTGCTGAAAAGCTGGTTGAATGACGTTGGACGAGGATCCGCCAGTTGTGACGGGAAACGCTTGATGAGGAAAGATCGTAGTCTCCAACCGCTGAGATATCCGTTGCTTATGGCCGATTGACTTGCTTCTTCCAATTGGGAAAACTTGACCTTTAGCTGTCCCACAATAGAGTCCGGTAACGCTTCGGCCGCATCAAGAGCAACCAGCACGCGGTTGACGATACCTTTGTCCACCTTCTGCTTGCGCCATGCCTTTGCAAAGTCACTCAGAGCATCTTGAACCATACGGCCTAAGGTGGATGCAGTCTGATCGGTGTCAACGATGACAACCTTCTCCTTTGCTCCAGTATCAGCAACAACAACAACAACAGACAAGAGGGCCTTGAGAAGAGTCATGTAAACGAAAGAACCCTCTGTGGCGACTTCATCCAAGATACCAGAAACCTTTGCGAAGTACTGCGTACGATATTCTTGGTGGTCATGCATTTGTCGAATAGTTGCCACTGACAAATAGGAAAGAAGTTGGGTCAATCCAAGGGCTGTTTTGGAGCCGCTTTTGCTGCATACTGATGTCAAAGCGGCTGCAATCTTCTGGAGATCAGAGAAGGCCATATCCTGGTAAAAAGTCGGCTTCTTCATGATTTTGCCAAGCAAGCCCAGCACCAGATTCCAGTCCGACGGGCTAAGGTTGTCAGCAACATGTACTTTGGAGACCAAGAGTTCCATGATGCGCTCTCTTTGTTGTCTGGTAATCGATTCATCAGGTACTCCTGATAGCTCAATCATCGCAGTCTTGCTTCGCTTCTCAGTCCAGGGGAAAGAATTCGTCGGCACCTGGGCAAGGATCTCTATAATGTAGTCCACGACCCCTGTTGCAAGCTTTCGATCGCGGAGATTGTTTTCGTTTGATGTGATCATATGAAGCACGTTTCCAAGTCGCCTTTCGCTGTCCCCTTTCCGGCCAAGAACACGTTTCACGTACTCCGGTAAAGAACCGGACGACTTAGAAAGGAGCGCGACCAGTCTTGAGGCAGCCAAGGGGTATTCGGCACAGAACTTGGGGACGTTCGAAGTATCTGACTCCACAGAGCAGCGAGATTCTAATAAACCCTTTAGATCCTCGAAGTTCACCTTCTTCAATAGTCTTTCCACAAAAGCCGAAAGCAAAGAAGCGATATCGTTCTGATCACGGCCATCTGGGTACATGGATAGCCAGAACTGGTATGCGCACTCCAGGGCTTCACAAGTATCTTCATCGTCGAACTTGGCTTTTTGTAGCGCCTTCGTCAGATCAACGCGAACACTATCCCATAGCTTAAGAGATTCTTCATAGTCCAGCCACGAAGCTGTCTTTGAGATAATCCTCCACCGCAGGGAGCGAATGTCCGATGGAATCTTGCCAGATGACCAAACCTTCAGTGCGAGATTCGACAGCTGAGTGCCAATCGAATCGGCATATTCATCCTTGGTGATGGCGGTGGCAATGGTATCAAGGAAGATGAAGACTGCTGCCGGCCGAAGATTTTCTTGGGTCTCAAGCCATTGTAGTAGGTTGTTCAGTTGTTTGGTAGTCAAAGACTTCTCAATACCCTCAATAAGTGTGGAGTTGCGGTGCACTTGAGTGAACCAGACGGGCCGGTCCCCAGAACGAAGTACCTTGTCTTCAAATGTAGATAGCTGAACGAACCACTTCTTCAAAAACGTTGACAAATCACGGGAGCTTTCAAAACCGGCGATCAACGACTCGATAAGGTCGTTCATGGTTTCTTCGCTAGCCCTAGCGTCGGCAGCAGTAATTCTGTCACAAACTTGGTCGAAAAGTTCCAGACCCTCGTCAGACTGTAAGAAGACATCTGCGTCGGACTTGGCGATGAGAGAAAGCAGGCGCCAGTCGGTTTCTCTAGCAGTGCCGACGAGGGCGTAGGTGCTGCATACTAAGCGAAGATCATTCAATGCAATTCGAGCCTTGTTTGCGATGGCTTTTTCCAAAATTTCGCCCATCACATGCGCCTTTTCGATGCTGGGTAATTGCCTGTTTGCTTGCTCAGACAACTTGAAGATTTCTTGCATCCAGGCTTCATCGGCCTTGGCTGTTGTAAGTCCCCCGACAACCTGGGGTGCAGCTGACACCAAACTGTAGAAGATGGGCGCCGCAATTGATACAATATTTTGAATCATGCCAAATGCACGGGTGACCACCTCGAGATCTTGTTTATTGAAGTACGCAGATCTGGCAGGGAGAATGAGGTTGCGCTGCAGGAACTTTTCGAGTTCGCGGGTCCAGAGTTCCGCAACTTCATGGTCCACAGCCGCACCTTCCTTGAGTTTGCCCAGAATAGAGAAAGTGGTTCTTGAAAAATGGGTTGCAACTTCGAGCGCATCGCTGGGGCCCTGGAGATGAAGGTCCCAGACAGAGGAGAACACGTTGACCCAATCTTCTTGCGCCTCAAACATCTCAATATTGGAGACCGCAAGAGAGTAGTCACAAAGAGACAACAGAGGCGCGAGGTATTCTGCGGCGTCGCTGGCGGGCTGCGCAAACAGTGCCTTGATGTGTTCTGCTCCCATCCTGTCGTGAGCGGACCACTGCGCCGCTAGGTCCAGCCGTGCCAGAAGGATCTTCAACGCGCCGAAGATCGCTTCTCCTGTTGCCAAACACCCGTCAAACGACTTAAGGCTTTCCAATTCAAACGTCAATGTTTCTGATCTTTTTCTCTTCTTTGATTTGGAGTCGGACGTATTGGCATCGGTGCTAGGTTTCGCGACGCCTTTCAAAGTTTGCTGAAGAACCGCCATGAACTTGCGATCAGCAAGAGACTTTGCGAGAGAAAAGAGAGGTATTCTTTGAAAAGCACAGCCGAGTATGCGCCAGGTCAAAGGAAACCGCCGAACCGTTTCCGCCTCATCGCTAGTAGCCTTCATCGTCTTAAGGAGCCATCGTAGAACGCTCTCCTCTGCTGCAGAGAATTGACTCTGACCGATAGAAGTAAGTTGCTTCCATACTCGCTCGAGATTTTCGCCACTGGCCCCGGGGCCTGTCTGATCGAGGGATCGTATAGTCTTAACCAGGTCTCTGTCCGCCGTCTTTGGGCAAAATTAGCATGAGCGTAGATGTGGGTGAGGAAACAGACTTACAACCGTCTCAGAAGACCGACTGGGGCTAGCATCGGTCATTTCCACGTCCATGACGAGAAACTAGCCGTAATAGACTTCGGCAGACATTCGTTCCTCAAAATGGTCGAATGTGTAAGTCTAGCAGCGACTCCCCGCGATTTTTGGCTGCAGCTTCCCAAAATTTAGGGATTCTGCCGCCCCACTCAATCAAATAGAGTCACCGAGACCTTCACCGAGTCTCACCGCCCTCGGGTGTTCAACATCAATTTGCCGGGACTCGCCGAAAACATCACTTGGATTAATTCCAACAGCTGAAGCTCCCGACCGGACAACACCATCGTGCATCGAGTCAATTGTGTGAGTATCGCTTACCAGAGCTGTAACTGGTTCCATTGATTCTGACTAGGCGATCTACAGGGCCACCGACGACGACCATGGCAGAGAAATCCATTCCCCCTCCCCCGAGCGCCGTCGCGCGACCCGTCAGTGAGGCACTTCTCAACGAGAAGGTAGCTACCTCCCCACCGCCAGAATCTTGATATGTCCCAGAGTATTTGGTCTTTCTGACTTTCATATTGTAGTGGGATCACTGCTTGTCCAACCTCCTTGTCAAGTCCACCCTTGGCCTTGGCTTCGGTGTCGTTTTCTCTGTCCTTCTGTTCAAGCGCAGGGCGTGGCCCGCTTTCATCGGCGTCGGCTTCGGAGCCGGACGCGCATACGAGGAGTGCAACTCCAGTCTTAAGCAAGCCGCCAGGGAGATCAGGAAGCAGGCATAGATGCCTTGCTATTGACGAATCTGGAACAACGATGCGAATTCGAACGACCGGGAGACTTCTGTACAAATAAACAACTACGTCACAAGCACGTGAAGCTCGCTGGGGAGCCAGAAGCCGGCGGGTGCCCCCTTGCGAACGCCTTCTGAAGTCGGCAAAGCTAGATTAGGACGGAGAAGAGCGATGGGAATAGAGTCAATTTCTTTGTTTGTCTATCCTGCTTGTGTAATGCTGCTCGCGTGCTACAGCTACATGAAGCTTGGTAGGCACTGGTGTGATATTGTACCTACGTGAGGCAGTACTACTACAGATGATATCGGCATAATTCGACTGGTATCTATGGTGGCGTTTTGTTGATTGCGGGAGTGCCGACTGTTTGTCAACACTTTGAACTTGCATTGATACCAGACTGACACCAAGCCACAGCTCTATCTGCCGCATCAGACCCGATTTCTGTTTACAACCAGTGACGTTAAGTTGGACCTCAGTCTACTGTCGGGGCCAATATAATGCGAATCGACTTGTTTAGTGGCTGAGATTCCTTTGGCACCTAACATACGTTGGGCCCGATTGGTGTTGCGTTTCCCAATCTACTTGTATTTTGTTGTCCATAATCTGCTAACAACCGCAATGATGGAACTGAAAGCTTGTTCTCGTATTCTGTGCTGTCGGGAACTTGAACATGAGGAGGAATGTAGACATTTGATGACGGTGTTGATGGATAACAGGTTGGCAATAACAATAGAGACTTTCTGAAGTGGTTTTGCAGTGCTTATCGCAGTATACTGTTGAGCTATCGTATTCTATCATACTACTTGACTCATCAGCTTGAAATCTGTCGACTGTTATATGGCGTATATGTTTGGTGGTTTGTCAGCTAGAAGCTAGTAAGGTTGTTCCAAGCCTAAGGGCAGACATGGTAGACTGAAATTAGTTTATCCCCAGGCGAATTTATGCTTGGATTTTGCTGTAAAGCAATCCTTGACAGGACACAATGCTGTGATAGCTGGAATGAAACTGCTTTGCAATTGAGGCAGCTGAACTACTTGCATTGGTTTTTCTTTACGCTGCTCGTATGGTTGGCTGCACCTGTCAGGGGGAAAAAATAATACGAAGCTTCTTCGGCCCATCAGTGAAAGCAACTACTGATAATGTCGAAAAGAGCATCCACTGTACCGCGACCCTTCATGTTAGATGGACGAACACATGGACTAAGGATGACTGAAGTACATAACAAAGCGCAGACGTCACACTTGGAGTTGAGATGTAGGCCACAAAAGGAAAGGTCCGACTGATGTAAGCGTGCAGGTAGACCCGATATGAAACGGGCAAATATGGACTTTTAAATTTCATCGTAGCTGACGGCAAAACACAAAGGTTGCCCTGTCTACCTGCTGCAACCCAGCCAGTAGTTGATGGTATGCGATTTTGCGGATTGTCGAATGGATCCAATGAATTTGCAGATCTTGAGACGCTGTAAAGTGCAGGGCCTTAATGATGTTTACTACCAGGAGCTCGGCGATTGCAGTGTAGTCTCCGATGTACTCTACAGATCCGAAGGACCGGCTCCGACAATCTTCATGACCGAGGTACGGTCCTTTCATGCCAAGCTGAAGTCGATATGCATTGATTTTCGGTAGGTTTGCCTTATAGTCAGAGGCATTGACAAGCCAGATGCAGCCGATAGGATGGCCTAGAGCAGTTATCAGAAAATGCCCAATTGGCACACCAAATACACCAACGTCAAGTTGAATTGAAATCCATGAACAACCATTGGACGAAGCCCACACAGAGCTCTTTGGGCTGACTAATGTTTCGATGAACGGCCACAACTGCCGCCACCTACCGCCCACCACCTTTTACATCATAAGCTCTACCCCTACCTACCTGGAGGGTTTGCGGCTTCAAATTTCTCAACCGTTCCGGCTATACCCCATCCCCACACCTACGGCCGCGTGAACGAGACTGCCATTATGGCCGCACCACTACGCTGCATTCACGCGCCCTCGAGTGCGAACATCTTTGTACAGCTTGCGCGCTGCACTACTCCAGCGCCAGCAGCCACTGCACCGATTCTATCTGTTCTAATCCCGAGATTCAGCAATGCCACTTCAACCAACCCTGTGGCCAGCTTCACCACCACCCGAAGAATCAGTACAGAAGTTCTGTCCCGGAGGAGGATAGAGGCGCAAAAGCCTATTCGGAAGAGCGCTCTTCAACAACAGAAGCAGACGCGCGCGTTTACTGTTTCGGCGGCACGGAGGCAGACAAGATGCGTATATAATCCGCAGAAGGACGAGGAGGGGAAGGATATGGTGCTTGAGATCACCGACAGGGCCGGCAAAGTATACTGCTACCGCCAGAAACTGACCATGGGTTCAATGCGTAGCTAACATATTTGGTTGTAGCGCCTCGCCGACATCATGAAGAAAGATAACAACCCGAACCTCGCGTTGAAGATACAAGTCGAGAGCGGTGGCTGCCACGGATTTCAATACTTGATGAGCCTCGTGACGCTACCCGGAACTGAGAACGCTGAGGATTGGTCAAAGGTTGTGGGTGAGGACGATACTGTGTTCCAGTACCTGCCGGATGATGCCGATGCTTCGAGCGCGACGTTTGGGGGCCCGAAGGTTGTCATAGACGAGCCATCTCTGGACCTGCTCAAGGGCAGTAAGGTGGACTTCACAATGGAGCTCATCGGGTCCCAGTTTAAAATTACTGATAACCCGTACGCCACAAGCAGCTGTGGGTGCGGCACCAGCTTCGACATCAAGATTTAGGCATGAGTCAGCAGATTGTACATTATAATACAACCATTAGTGTGGGGCATTTTGTACACCACTCTGTATGAAAGGCTTCGACATGGTTTGGAAGGGCCTCGGAGCACCCAGGAGACATCACACATGATACATATACAAACACTACTCTTTAGAAGAGGCTTGCATTGCTACTCATTGAACAAGCGGAGATCAAGGACCCAGGTGTCGTCAAATGATCAATTCACACAAATTTCCCTTTTGTGGTTATCAACGCCGTGCAACCATGCCAATCATGAAGAACCCTTGGTATTCTCAACCTGCCGAAGCCCGAGTAACTAGACAAACCCTGCTAACCCCGTTTTTGATTCAATTACCCACTAACACCACAATAAACTTAGTTCATCTGGCGGATGAGGGCGTTGATCTTCTCCTCGCGGTTACCAAGGTCACCACCCTCGATAAAGTGCTTGAACTTGCGGGGGCGGAAGCCACCAGTGGGGTTGGAGAGCTTGAAGGGCCAGAGGAAGTTGGAGGCCTGCTTGAAGTTGGGGCCAACAGAGTAGATCTCGTGGATGAGATCCTCCATGCAGACAATGCCGTACTTGCCGAGGTTCTCCTCAATGATGGCGTTGTCGGTAAGAGCAATGCGCTGCTTGTTGACCTTTCCGTAACCGCGCTTGTAGACAAGGTCCTTGACGGACTTCAGGTTGGGGTAACCGTAGGCAACCCAGGGCTCGACAATCTTGATCATCTCGGTGGTGGCCTTGGTGACCTTGACGAAAACACCGTTGTTGATCTGGAGGAGACGGAGGAGCTGGAGGATCTTGCGGGGCTTGGGGGGGATCTTGTTGATACCCTTGATGCGGATAAGGAAGATCAGGGTAGCCTCAGCGGGAACGTAGGCAGAGTCGTTCTCTCTGGCAACGCGGGAGAGGCGGACCTTCTCGCGCTCGGCATCACGGTACTCGGTGATGTACTTCTCAGCGCGCTTGAAGATGACGCCACGCTTCTCCTTGTTGGCCTTGAGAACAGTTAGTTACTTGAACATAGTTGCGATCTCAGTAATAATGATAGATTCGGTAGTTGTCAGACCCGAAAGAAGGTTAATTTCCAACAGCATCGACCGTAGTCTAGTCGTGAAGGTTTGTTGTGCATCATGAAAGGAGGGGAATTTGATAAGGAACAGGGTTAGACCTACAGCCTTCTTCTTCTCGAGAGCAGAGTTGCGCTCAGCGCGAGCCTTCTCCTGAGACTTGCGCTTCTTGAGAAGGGTCTCCGGAACCAGAACCTGGTTGGAGGTGGGGACGGACCTGTTGATGAACTCTGATTAGTACGCAGTCCGACATACTGCAAGCAGCATGGAAGAGAGCGCCGGTGCGAGAATTGTAGCTGAAGCGCGACATTCTCGCTGAGGCTAACTCGAATGATAACTTTAATCAGTGAGCCGACTGAAGCGGAAGACTCGACAAACGTCAAGCAAGTCTCTGCCGCCCTGTCTCTTGCTCATCTGACAACACCTTGAAACAAAAGAATGTTCAAGAAGCAATGCGCGCAGACGACTTTGGACAATTGCAGGCTTTTCAGCCCTGCCAGTGCTCCCGTCTTGCGGCAATGGATTTGAGGGAGAACATGTTACTGTTCATCCCCAACACCCCAGACAACATCTCTCGATCGGCAAGCCTTGTGATGGTCATGCAAAAAGGAGGGAGATGCCCAGGAGGGTTCGAGCTGAGAGCCAGGCGTTCACTACAGAGTGAAGCTCGGTCTCCAGCGAGAGGACCACGACAATCTTCAAAACATCGGGAAACCAGGCGCCTTGGGGGGGGTAGGGCATGCTGCTTCAGGAGCATTGGTGAACGTACGTAGCGGCGGCCATTTTGAAGGCTGGTTAGTGGTTGTCGGCGGTGGTCGTCGAAAAACTGGTCGCTGGTCAAAAGAAAAGAAAAAGAGAAGAGGAGGCGGGATCACAAACTTTTTAGCAGATTTCCCCAACTGCAAATCGGGGCTTCGCGCAGGGGCCACACACGAAAATTTTTGCGTACACCGCTACTACCCACTGTGCAAAATTCGCTTAGGTAGGGTTTCCCACGCAGCTAAACCTTTTAGGGCATTCTGCTGTGTTTGACCGCCTCAACCCCGTCAGGGCAACCGTCCACTTTTCAATGTGCTTGTGAAATTTCATTTGGAGCGCGACGAGAGAGAAGAGCTTCTTTGAACCATCCGACTAACCACCACCGAAGCAATCCGCCAAACACAGCAGTCACGATGCCCCCCAAGAAGACCACCCGTCCCGCTCAGGAGAACATCTCCTTGGGCCCCCAGGTTCGCGAGGGTGAGTCTTACTATTCTGTCGTTTAAATGCTTCATTGAGAGCATTGCGGCGCCATTCTTAGGAAGATACAGCTTGCTGATTTACCCCGCCAATGCAGGTGAACTTGTCTTCGGCGTCGCCCGTATCTTCGCCTCCTTCAACGACACCTTCGTCCACGTCACCGATCTTTCGTAGGTCCCTCCCTGATATTCCTAATTTTGCTCCCCGGAGAAGACTCCGGCTTCTTTGCGACGGCGCACAATGCCCCTCATAAAATGGTGGTTCAACATGGCTAACATTCTGGGTGATTCCAGTGGCCGTGAGACCATCTGCCGTGTTACTGGTGGTATGAAGGTCAAGGCCGACCGTGACGAGTCCTCCCCCTACGCTGCCATGTTGGCTGCCCAGGACGTCGCTGCCCGCTGCAAGGAGCTCGGCATCACCGCTCTGCACATCAAGATCCGTGCCACCGGTGGTAACGGCACCAAGACCCCCGGTCCCGGTGCCCAGTCTGCTCTCCGTGCTCTGGCCCGTTCCGGCATGAAGATCGGCCGCATTGAGGACGTTACCCCCACTCCCTCCGACTCTACCCGCAGAAAGGGTGGTCGCCGTGGTCGCCGTCTCTGAGCGCCCAATTGGCTATATCATTCATGGCCTGGGTGGTTCTGGGACAGGAGTGCTCGTTATTTGGTTTCTGGGTGGCATCGCGAAAAACGCGGGGAACGGCTTTCTAGCCTGGTCTCCATTCTACGCACTGTGACATGCCTTCTGCTGCGGGCGACAGTATCTATCGTAGACAGAATAGAAACTCGCCATATATGGCCTGAACTGAAGAGTAGCTCCTGAACCCCATCCGACTCTGTGCATTATCGTTTCGGTTTCGTCAATGTGAGGTGTGAAAGTGAAAGCAACCCTGCTGTCTATCGCATTCATTCCCTGCGTCTAAGCAAATCTACGGTGCTTTTCAATAGCAGCTGTTTGTGTCTTTGATATACAACAAAGTTGGATGTCTCTTCCGCCACCCCAGTGCCTCAGGCTTCCGTCCATCTTTCCATGAGACTCTATGCCATCCCCAAAATGTTGACAGTCTTATCAGTAGCCTGGCTTCAAGGACCACATTCCCCTACCAGTGCTGCCAGTACTGCCCTTGGTTAGGGTAGCTATTTTGTCCAACGCAGACTTGAACTCCTGACTCTGTCTGGATGTTTGACAGTAGGGGTTGAAGTGGTCCACTAACATCTTGCTGGGCACCTTTCCTCCGTGGCGCTTGATGAAGGTTTGTATGAGAAGAACGAAATCCTTCTCTCTCAGATTTTTGTTTTCCATGCCAGGAGTGCCAGACCGCGAGCTGGTACCGCTGTTGGGCCGGCTTAGACCTTGTCGGTCAGCCAAACCGGCCAATACGCCTGATGAACTGGGTCCGCCTCGTCTCCGATGGGAACCGGGACGGCCGCCATCACCTACTTCGCCGGTCCAAGTAACGGTACCAATGGGTATGCTGCGGGCTTCCTCACCGGCCCGACGGAGATGTGCCGCTGCTTGTGCAGCGACCTTATTGGCCTCGTACTGGTTCATGGCTTTGTCTGCTTGCACCGGTTTCTTGCCATTCATGATTTGGTCATGCTCGTAAGCGCTCTCTACTGACCGAGCAAAAAGATTCTCAGTCATTCTCTTCTCGTCATGTACTTCCTTGTCCTCTTTATACTCCTCCATTGCGACAACACCTGAAAGCTTTCGTACAGTGTTTACTTCATCGTTCGCTGCTTTGCTTGCTCCGACGGAAGTTATGGGCATGGTGTCCTTAGACGGTTTGTCATGCTGAAGCTCTTTGTTGTTGAATTTCACTTCAGCGCCCTCAAAGATCTTGCTTCTGTCGGCGCTTGCCATGCTTTGACCAGCTTCGCCAAAGCTGAAGAGATCATAGAGATCGGATAGGTCAAAGTTGGCGCGCTGCTTCGGATCTTTCAACACTTTGTTGGTCATGAACTGTTTGAAAATTTGACGATGGTAAATCTTCTCCTCGATTGAACCAGATGTCATCAGTCGGTAGATTGAGACTGGTTTCGTCTGGCCAAGCCGCCAAGCTCTTTCACGCGCTTGCATGTCGGTAGAAGGATTCCAGTCTGGGTCGTAAATGATAATACGGGTTGCTCCGGTCAAATTGATACCCAAACCTCCAGTCCTCGTAGTCAGCAAGAAGACATCGACAGAGGGGTCGTTGTTGAAGCGGTCGATCAAGACCTGTCTTTGCTCAATAGGTGTATCACCGTCCATACGGAGATAGCTAACCCCATCCATCTTTCCAATAAACTTCTCGAGAATATTCAGCATAAGCTTGGTCTGAGAGAACAACAAGGTCTTGTGACCAAAGCGCTTCCATAATGGCAATAGCTCATTCACCATCTGCATCTTGCCTGACTTTTTGGGATCTCCCCAGTTGTACTTCGAATCTTTCTTGAGCCGATCGTCCAAGAGATCCGGATGATTGCAAATCTTTCGCAGAATGTCGATGCCATACAACGCTTTTCGTTTCTTCGTCATAATTTCACCGACAGCGTCCGAGTTCAAAAACCTTGTGTATGCCGTAAGCTGAGGCTGCGTCAGCTTGCAAAACAGAACTTGTTCCGTCTTCTCTGGAAGATCTGACGCCACATCGATCTTAAGTCTTTGCAGGAGGTATTGACTGATAGTGTCCTTCAAGGTCGCCGCGCATTTTTCAGCTGTCATGACTTGGAGGTTGGTCGCGTTTGCGTAGCCACCTTGCTTGATCGGTAGCTCGAACTGCGTCCTGAAACTCACTAGCGTACCTAGTCGCATTGGGAAGATAAAATCGAAGAGTGACCATAGCTCCGTTAGGTTGTTCTGGATTGGCGTACCAGAAAGGATGAGCCGGTTCACGGTATTCAGGTGCTTGCATGCGACAGTGATATCCGCGTTCGGGTTCCGGATCTTATGGCCTTCGTCAAGGATGGCATAACCCCAGGTGTGGGACAGAAGCTCTTGGTCATAAGATTGTAGGCCAGCGTAAGTTGTCACTAGAACATGACCATGCTTGACGACGCGACTAACTATCCTCCGAGCGGCAGCACGATTCCTGCTGACCGCAACAGAGTCGTCATCAATGTCAGAATCATCTTCTCGTTGGTTCATCATGCCACTGCCTGATGAGTGCAAAATAGAGACTCTTAGTGGAGGCCACCATCGGTGAAATTCGTTGACCCATTGCTTCATGACCGTTGCGGGCACAACGACGATGACAGGTTTGTCAAGCTTCTTGCTATAGTGAAGGGCCGCAACGAAGGCGATTGCTTGGACTTGAAGGAGTTAGATATGGTTGCTAACAACGCGCGAGGGGGCAATTACCTGTCTTGCCCAAACCCATTTCGTCTCCAATAATACCTCCAACACCTTGCTCGTACAGCTCAGCGAGCCAGTTAACTCCGGTTTTCTGGTACGCAAATAGCGAAGGGTGAATATCACCAGGCAACTTTAGGCCGTTTCCGAACACATGGTCAGGATGGTCAGGTGAAGGTTTGAACCACTCTTCCTCGTCATTCTCAGCGAGAGAGACACCATCTGCTTCCGCGCGCCGACGGCGCGCCCTGCTCCGTCTTTTGACCCAATCTGCAAGACGTGCCTTGTATTTGGACTCATTGCCATCGTCAACACCGGTCAAGTCTACAACATTTCCACCCGATACCGCGGCATCTGCGGCTTTCTTTTTGGACGCACCCTTCCGTCGCTTTCGACCAGTGGCTTCCTCTTCGCTGGTATCTGACGCATATTGGCTCTCTGGTGAGGCAGCGGCCTCTGGCTCAAACTCGTCAGATGATGCGTCTCTCTGCACTTTGCGTTTCTTCCTAGGTCGAAGGGAAAATTCGTTTTCAACAACATTAGCAACGGCCTTAGTTTCCGGCTCTTCGGCAAAGCCAGGCATACGTAAGATCTGATGTGATCTTGGCTCTTGGTCATCACTCTCGAAGTTGTTCTCTGCTGCATCTTCTTCTGCTTCCACAAGGACATCGGCAAGTTCGCCTTCGAACCCGGGAGGTCGCTCTCCACCAATATTGGCAAAAGGAGTGATCTTTCCAGTGCGTACGAGATAGTCTCGGTTAGTTTCGCCAGGCAGTCTTCTAGACTTGCTTTTGGATGATTCCTCCACGGCTTCCGCGGCTTCCTCACGCCTCTTTTCAATGCGGGCTTGAAAATCAGATATGTCGTTCGTGACGCGCTCAATTTCATTGTCGAGTTTGTCAATTTGTGCTTGTATCTTGCGTGACTTGTAAGGGTTGCGACGCTCCCTTTCCAGATTCTGTCGCTCTTTAGCTCTTTGGGCCTCCAGATTTTGTTTGCTTGTCTCAAGCTTTTCAATACGCTGTTGATCCTTTTTGTCCTCAGCTTCCATCAACGCAGTGTTTGCCTGTGCCGTAATGTCGCGCTCCAGATCATCTTGATCCCTGATGTCTGCTGTAATGTTTCGAAGGAAGCTCGCTTCATCTGCTTCGCTTCCTAACTGGGTTGTAACCGTATTCTCGTTGGTAACCTCATCAAACCCTTGACCCTCAACCATGGTCGCGCCATCGCTTGTAGCTTTATCCTCGGGTTCAGAATCCATCCTAATGACTCCCCTCCATCAACCTTGCAATTTTTTCACCGGTATCTTTCGATGAATCAACCTTTCTAGGTGGCAGCCGTTGTGAATGAGTTGAAAGGGAACGAGCAAGAGCGCTTCCGATAAGAACAAGGAGAGAAATAATGGAATGACAGTTTACAAGAAGGCCTAGTAAATTTAATTAGCCTGCTGCCGCTGCTCAAATCAGCAGGACTTGGCGATTCTAAAATCGCTGCCTTCCAAAGTGAGTCACAAAAGGCGATGTGAAAGAGCGTCCCAGGCGCGTCCAGTTTCGCTCATTCTCACTGATCACCTTGGAAAAATGATGACGCCACGGCAAGGCAGTAACGAACGGGGCGCGCGGTCAGGTGCCTGGGCAGGGATCTTAATTGCTGGAAAAGGCTGCTGATTGGTGGGTCGGAGGTAGTCGGCATTTGCAGTCAGTGTGGCGCGCATGTTTTCATCACATAAAAGGCTGCCGCAACTGAGCCACATTTGGATGAAGTAAGCAGCTTCCATCACCTCCGGCACAGTAAGGATTGGTTATTTTTTACAGGGCATTACTGTACAATACGACAGCTTCAGTGGTGGCCAGCTGCTCGATGTCGATTATTCTGTGCCCCTTGGTAGCGCCATCATATTCAATGGCAACCTCGAGCTAACTCTCGTTGGCTAAGCTCATCTACCAATTGTACAGCAGGCGCCTTGCATCTTCTTCATTTTCACCGAGAACCATGATACGCGGTAGACATTTTAAGAATCTGTTCTCTGCAGCTGGTCAGGTGGCATCAAGGCAGATGTCCTCTTCCTCCAGAACAATACTTGATGCTCGGAGAATGTCTCCGGAATGGCTTCAGTCAGTTCTCAATATAAAGTCCAGTGCACCGAAACTCTATGCTTGGAACCCTTCCGACGTTGAGCCACACGCTGCTCCTACAGACCACATCAACCACAGCCAGGTCAACTACAAGGAAGGCAGCGACTCACGAGATGACTTATGTCGGCGAATATACATCCTTGGAATAGGGAACCTTGGTATTCTTTTCGCCAGCGCCCTAGCTACACTACCAAACCCGCCTCCAGTCACTCTTGTCTTTCACAAGAAGGAGCTTCTCCTATCCTGGAAACATGAGCCTGGAATCGAAATCAAGCGAGACAGTACTATTAGCAAGTACTCGAATCTTGACGTCGAACTATGGTCCGAAGAGCCTCCTGTTGGACGTCAATCCAGAGAGGTTGCTAACGGTGAAAGCATTCGCAACCTCATCGTAACCACCAAAGCATCTCAAGCTCTCCCTGAGGTGGATCGGGTTCGTCGCTACCTCGATAGCAACTCTACGGTAGCATTCGCCCAAAATGGCATGTGCAAGATGTGGCCACCTCACGGAACTACATACAATACGGCACGTTACTCGCAAGACCAGTCATCGTCTCACCCCAACTGGCTAGCATGCGTAACAACACACGGCGTGACCTCTCTTGGTCGATTTAAGAGTGAACACGCATCAGAGGCCGATATCAAGGTTGGACCAGTTCTTCTAAATTCTGAGTCTCATACCTGTGTTTCCTACCTATCTAAATTGCTCGTCCGAGCTCCCCATCTCAAAGGAACGGCTGTTGCTCGGAATGACCTCTGGATTCTACAATTGGAAAAGCTTGTGGTCAACTCCATCATTAATCCGCTCACGGCCGTTCTTCGCTGTAAGAATGGGCAGCTATTCGTAGAAAAGGACGGCCCGACAGCGCAACTTATGGATAGCTTGTTGACTGAAGCTAGCGCTGTACTTCAAGCTGTTATCAATGATAGCAGTGCGGACTCCATTTTGCAAACACCATCAAATGAGGAGACGACATCAAACGAGAAACAAGTCGCACGCCGTGACCTTTTGGAAAGGTTTTCTCAGCCGCGGCTCAAAAAAATGCTCTACGAAGTTGGATACAAAGTTAGGGAGAATACTAGCTCGATGCTACAAGATGTCCGGGCGGGTAAGCAGACCGAGATTGATGAGTTCAACGGATGGCTGGTAGATATGGCAGCCTATTTGGATGGAGACCTGGACGTTTCTTGTCACAAAACCCTGATCGGTCTTGTCAAAAATGGTTCTGTTTTGCAAGCGGATTCGCTCAGCAACCATTTCCCTCATTTAATGTCCCTGAGGGCACCAACGGCTTAACTCCCAATGATGGCTCGTCAAATCACAATTCATACCATGGCCCCTACTTTCATACAGTCTGGCACCTTGTAGCGCTTTGGTTCACGCCACGGTGTTGTGATAGGTCCTAGCCTGACTCCTTGTTATGGCAAGCACAATTCTCAACTCGCAGTCACCTCTGCCCAGGGCATGCGATGAATTCTGGTGCAGTAAAACTCTCGTCACGGCTTATCGTAACCTTCTATGTGGCCCTAATATCACAGCCACATCACCAGGACATGGAGAGACGAAGATTGGAGCAGTCAGGGCCAGTGTACCCGCAGGCTAGCATCGGCGCGTGCCTTTCGTACCTCATGCCTTTTACCAACGTCAAGTATGATTAGCCGACAGCACAGCACCTGCAATATCGTCCCGTTATGCCAACCGAGCCTACCTTATTCACATAAGTATTACTGCATATACGGCATGGCTGTTGGGCCGAACGGCTGGCGGCCGCCTGGCAGTCTTGACGCTTCAACGTGGCCTTCCCACATCCATATGTGCTGTAAACGCCAACTCTTGCTGGCACAATCTAACGCAAAAGTCCCGGCTCAGGGGAGGAAGGTTCTCCTCATTTGCCACGTTCATGTACACCTCGCCCCTTAATAGACTGCATTATAGTCACTATATTGGAGATTTTATACCGGTATAGGACCGCCAAGTATTACACCAATATTGACAAGTACCTGCGGCCTTCGGGGTACCTCGGAGGGGAACCTAGATGCAAAGAAAGCGCTCAGAGGTTGCGGATTTTCACCCGCCGCTTGCCCACTAATGATGGCCATGACTTCTCGGCTGTTGAAGTACAAGTTATGCGATTTGCATATACCCTTTCCCCTGTATGACGATGTGTGTTCGCTAATTTGTCACAGGAAATCTAGTACGTGTTCGGAGATCTTCGACGGAGTGCCTGGTAAATCGAAACATCGGTTAAGTGATAAATGATCAGTGATAACGTGTCGAAAATTCATAATGATCACCATAAGCAACCAACATGAATCGAAACGGTCGAGTCCCCCCATCTCAAACAGAGGGACTATGCATCGAAAACTTCGCTTACTTTTTTTTTTTTTTTTTTGGATACCCACCTGTCAGAATGTGTGAAGTTTCACCAGCTTGCCGCTGGTCTAGTGCTTTCAATCAGCTCGATTTGAAGCCAGCATGGATCTTGGGGGTTATCTAGCTTGGAGTCACGCCATTCGTCTTATAGCGGCGCCGTTCTACTCCCTGCAGTATCACGGGGCTCGCATCGTCCAGCTGATACATGTCAAAGCCGCGATCCCGAGTGACAGGCTGCCTGTCAAACAACTGCTTTAGAAGCGGATCTTATGAACACAAGCCCACAACACTGACAGTTTATCGGTTGCAGCTGCTAGTTGGTGAATCTATTAAGAGACTCCATCAGGCGAGACACGAAGGAAGCAATATGTGGAGATGCTAGCGGAGTCGGCGAGGATAATTGCGCTCGATTTCACAAATTGAATGGATCCAATTCGTCTTCCGGCTTCAATTTTCCGATTGGCCGGCAGGGGTAAAAAGAAGAGAAGAAAAAAAACCTCCGGTGCATACAGTCCGTTTCGCTGGCAGCGTCCAAAAATCGGATTTTAGCCTATTAACCCCGAAAATCAGTAAACTATCACAACAGGGGTCAAACTGGCCCAACTGGCCCAACTGGTGTAAACTGGCCACTGTAGCCCAATTGGGCCACTTTCGTGGGGCCCACGTAGTGAAATCTCTGTAAATTACAATATCTCGTGAAAAGCTTTTCGTGATGCCTCCTCGGCGGGCTCGGGCCCCCTCAATTGATAATACCACTGGGCCGGCGAAGCGAAAGCGATTGAAAACAGCAAAAGCCCTAGAGACGAATACAACAACCGGCTCGCCGTCGAGGGTAGTTATCGTACGTACGAGGGCGAGGGCGAGGGCGCAGGCGTCAGAGCCAGCGAAGACCCCAGTTAAGCCACCTCGACGCCGTCGGGTAGTGGTGATCCCTTCCCCAGCCCAGAGGGTTGCTCAGTTAGCAGAAACAGAGACAGGAATAACTCAACAAAACCTCGAAGTTGACGAAGTCGAGGAAACCCAACCGGCAGGCCACTATGAACACCAAGCTATTGGGCAGTCAACGCCGGGCCAGCGACTTCAATATAACCTCAACCTCGATGAGGATCCTTTTGCTGTTACGCCGGCAAGGCCTGGTCGACGGCCTTTACCTGATACCCCAACTCCTCGACGAACGCAACCACAGTCAATCAATTTAACTGTTACGTATACTCCTCTCTTCTCAGGCGGTCGCTCGCCGCCAAAGCTTCCTGAGACTATATACAAGTGGATATTTGACGAGGAGAGCGAAGTTGGTCATAAGTTGATTATCCAGTGGTCGAAAATCGAGAGGGATTTGGCGAAGCGAATCGACGCCCGTTTAAGGGCACAATATAATATCGAGAAGAGCTGGATTACCACGAAAATCGCCTGGAGAAGAATAGGATTAAAAGCAGTAACTATTGTATACCGCGAAGAATTCGCTGTTGACAGTGGCAACTGGCCGGTTGTTCCATGGTATGATATTTCGAAGCAAATTATCGAGAATAGTCGCCTTGGTGAGGTTCTTCTCGATGTTGAACTGGCCTACTCTGTCACTCCTACTGTAGCCGCAGTAGGAGAGCTAGAAGGCGTAGGATCACCACGAGGGCGACCGTCTCGACTTAGTCAACGTCAGACTGTAACAAATACGATGCTTCAAGCGATTGAAACAGAAGGCGATCGAAAGAGGAAGTTATTTCGAGACCTTCTTCGCCATAATCAGTGTAACGATTCAGCAACCTGTCAGAATACCTCGTCAGCTGATCCAACAGTTAACTGGTGCTGGGTCAACGCAAGAAAACACTATAAACTGACCGTATTTGATTTCGAGAAGTGGCAAGAAGCTATTCAGAAGGGCGAGGAAGGCGTATCAATATCAAACCCGCCTGCCCGCCTAATTGTTGATCTTGTTCAGCGTGAACAACGCGATATGAAAAAGCCCGATAAATCAGCAAATCGAGGAGGCCAAAATAGCCTAGGTGAAAAGTCTGCTAATAGAGGGCTTTCAGACACACAAGACCCAGCAAATACTGCCAATAATAATAGCGCAGTAGTCAACTTCTATGGCCTACCTCCGCCAGGCGGCCCAACGCAATATTGGCCAAAGTTGCCGCCGCCAACGATGCCGCCCCAATATTGGGATCTTGAGCCTCAATTTCAACCGCAGTCAGGTGATTACTCTGCCCGTCGGCAAGTAGAGGCTCCGATTCGTTCTTCGTCGCCAGTTGTTCCTGATTCGCCCTCAAAAGCAACACGCTAAGTTGATGAGTTCGTTTCGTGGTTTCTAGCTGTGAACGGCAAGAAGTTGGGTATTGACGAAGTGAAATTTACTCCGTTAAAGGCTTCAATAGTCAGTCTCCGCGTTATTCGTGATTACCCAGACAGCTGGTTCAAGGAGGTAGGGTTTTCACCACAACTTACCGCAGCAGTGAGAAAATCGATCAAACTTTTCACTACAACACAGCAATTTTACCTCCAACAGAGCGAACCTCTCGCCGCTGTACAATCACTCGTACAGGCAACGAAAAAGCCAGCAGTTGACCGTGAGGTTGAAGACGAAGTGTATAACCGACTTTTTGACGAGCGATTCGGAGAAACAGGCAATATCGAACGAAGCGCTAGTAAAGTAGGCGAAATAAGCGTTCCAGCGGGTAGGATCTCCTCACCGCTGCCAACTGGCGATATTGAGTTTGGTCGAGGTGGTGAGTAATATTGACGGAAGTGACGGCGTCAACTAACCAGAAACTAGAATTAGACCTCTTCGTCTCCTCGCCGCCGCCACCAATCCTTCCTCCTAATACCGAACAAAATCCGATCGAAGTCTCAGACTATATATCGTCGCCTTATACCCAAGAGGAAGAGGAGGTTAAACTAGGATAAATAGCAGCGACTACTGCTAGCGGAAAGCTTTGCTTGTGGATGTGAGCTGCCCTGCAACACCCGGGAGGATCAACCCAAAGACCGTTAGGTAGGTAGCAGAGCACTTTGATACGCCACGGATACGATTTATTTCACTATAGGCCTGACTTGAGGTTGTAAATACAGGCATTATTCATGTTTTTCTTCTCCTACTTCTCCTACTACAAGTTCAACAACTATTTACTACAAGAGGTGGATTCAACTCTCCTCCTGCCTCAATATACATATCGCTACTCGTCATAGCGTCACAGAAGATATCCTGTGTGCCGTCGAAGTTGATATATGAGTTACGGAAGTGCCCAGCTATCTGTGGGAGACGTTGCCCAACCTCAAGCGCGCAGTCGCGGAGAAACTCAGCAAAATCACGCTCGTCTAGTTCGTTAGTATTCCACGTACGGAATGTCTTTTTTACATGCTTTTTGAGGTCGCCAAAATACTCCTCGATGGGGTTAAAGTCAGGTGAGTACGGCGGGAGGAATTCGAGGCGTACGCCAGCGGCCTCACACGCTTGCCGTATATCCCCTTGCCGGTGAAAAGAAGCATTATCCATTATAATCACTGACTTAGGCCCAGGGAATATTCCACACTTTGGCAGTAGAAGTTGCTGTATCCACGCAGAGAAGCCCTCGCCATTCGTCGATCCAGTATATACCAGCAAGTCTACGATACCGTCAATTGCGAGTGCTGGCAGCAGTTGTATCCGTTGACCTCGCTCGAGGGGAACTGACCGCGTTGGCGTCAGACCCTTAGGCGCCCAACCCGTCCTTCTTCTTCCAGTGTTTTTATCAACGCCTGATTCGTCTACGAATATTAATTGTTCTGGGTGGTATCGACGTATACGATATAACCAATCGTACCGTAATTCTGGGTTTCGTTGTGAAGCAATTATGTGGGCTTTCTTTCTCGTCCAGCCAGCTGCGTGGAGGTGGCGGCTCAACGTTGATTTGCTGACTTCGAGGTTGAACTGTTCGTATAGGAATTCTTGCATCTCTTCGAATAGGAGGTCGTTACGATACTTTAATAATTCGAGAAGTTCGTTCCGATGCTGTATTTCCATCTTCTGCTGGCTTTCACGCCTTCGAGGGTATTGTTCTACCTCGCCAGTTATGTCGAATCGACGACGCCATCGTCGAATCGTTCGTTGGCTACAGCCAACCGCCTCTGCGATTTCTTCGTCGGTTTGAATAACAGAGGGAAGAAGTAGGTTAACTTTCCTCAGCTGGAGTTTTGAGAGACGTGGCGCCATACTGACGCGTTGAAATGAGTAGATTTGACGATACGGTGGCTAAATGCAGCTGAATGCGACCGTTGTAATTTTCCCAGCGAAAAAAACGGAGTTTAGCATGGGTTTGCATTAACCCCACCCTAGGGGGGTAAAAACTCGATTTTTGGACGCTGTCAGTGCAACGGACTGTATTTGACGGAGATTTTTGAGAGATGCCTGTCAGATGGATGCAGCGCGATGTGGAGACGGCGGGCAACGTCAACACTGAAGACATTCAGAATGCTTCATTCGCTCGCCTGCACCTGTGGTGCAAAGTGGAATAGGAAGACACCTTCAGTAATCGCCCAAAATGCAATTCAAGTCCGAAGCGTTGTTATTCGGCTCCGGCCCCTGCCAAACAGGATTTGCTAGTGAGCCAAGCTACTGTCAAAGCCCTGGCCAGGGCAGGCAATAGTTGATGTGGTTACACTGCATCGCTGACCCGCATTGCACCCACATACAAGACTTGCCGGCGGCCAAGTCGTACGTTTTCAGACTCAATTAAAGCAGAAGTCAAGCCTTTCAATGGAGAGAAAGGATTTTGCTGCTCAGCGGCTCAAGGTCTTTCCTTCCGATCGGTTGCCGAAGCCCTCAAGACGCTGGACTCACTCGGCTAGGACAACGTCATTGAGCCGCTTGATCCAAGCTTTCCCAACTTGTACACGGAGGTGGGCGAGATCCCATATCAGGGATTCCCTGGCGAAGAGGTTTTGGTCTTCACACCCATCATTACACGAGATCACGGCCTAATGTGACTGCGTATCCTTCAACGCTTGCTTGTTCTTTATTTTTGTTTGGGCGTCGTCATCGCGAAATTTCGGCGATTCCTTGCGCTGTCACGATACAGGCGGATCCGCCTGACAACCAAGGCTGCCCTGGGTCATGAAGCGGGATGGGCGAGATGGTGATGAACAGCCCTTGACCAATAAAACGGGACGGTTCCCGGTCCAACAACGGCCCAGCATCCCCCGGCTCCTTCACCAAACCTCGTCGCCATCCAGCCCGGCAGTTGGCACACGATCGCCCATTATCAATCGCACATCAGGAGTTTCATCTTTGTTGCCTCATGCGTTGGCTTTGCTAGCCCAGCTAAACACGAACCATTGACATTCGTCCGAGGAGGCCGCAAGCTGATTACAGGAAACGTCGTAAGCAAATGGCACCGTCTACAGCCAGCGAGAGGACAAAAGTGGAAAGGCCGTTATTCGCTTTCCACTAACATGTTTGTTTTTTTGTTCAGTTTTTCCTTTTTTTCTTTTTTTTTTTTTTTGTTCCATGGGACATCCGGCAATTTCCGTACATCACCTCAACCACAACATCGTTGACCCTCTTGTTTTGGCTTGCTTGATCTACGCCATGCGACGCTTTACTTACGCCTCATGTCCGTGGCTGTAAGAGAGAGGTCACCGTCAACAAAGTTTAAGCAACTTAATTCGAGGGACTCGGACTTTTCGACTGTTCGAGATCTTTCTACCCTCTGTAACGTGGTACTAGAGATGCTCATTATTTTTCTTGATACCCCGTATCCGGAAAGTAGTCTCCGGATTGTACCGACTTTTTGAAGCTTAAAATATGGCTTACAATCATCCCGATGTAAACGGTCGACGCTACATCAGGGAGGGAGGGGGAAAAACACAAGCAGGATGGGAGAATGCTACATGGCACCGGACCTCAGTGGCCGAATCTAGGCTACATTGCAGCTGTTCTCGCCTTGCAAGTACATTTCCACGCGCCTACTTACAGGCTTGGATTCGGGGTACTGCTGCTGTGATCAAGTATCACCTTGCATAGAGTGGCATGCGAGAACCTCTCCCTAACTAGGCTAACCCGTCACGTCACGTCACTGTCACAAACTCGACCGCAGCGATCTTCTTGTGGGGGAAAGCAGAGGATGGCACCCTGTGTAAACCCCGAGCGTGTGACAACCTTGTCGAGCGATTGACCGCCTCTTTTCTTCTGCCTCTATGTTTTTTTTTTTTTTTTTTACTCCTCCCGGCGATGGCGGGTACCTGGGGGCGAGGGTTCGCTGCCCACAACCGCCTAGGAGATGACGGGGTAGGGGGGGTAGGGGGGGATATATCAGAATCCCAGTGTTATATAACAGGCTTGGGCCGTTGTTTCAACAGCGAAGAGCCGCTGTCAAGCCAGCCTTTGTGGGTGGACGCCGCAAGAGGAAAGAAGAACGGGGAAAGCCTGCGCTGCATAACGGGCTTGGATCAATGACCCCCATCAGCCCACTGGAGCCCTCGGCTGTTGGAAGAAGGGGATCACGATCATAAGTCGGCCATGTTATGGGATGGGAAGCGAAGATGTCAGGGCCACTTGGGGCCATTTTGGGCCGATGGGGTCGGTCACGCCCAACGCGGCACATGCGGAGCAGATATCCACTCTACGGACAATTGTTATCTTTTTTTTTTTCTTTCCTGTCTTTCTCTTCTCTTCCCCTAACGGCCAGTCCACCCCTGCGCCCTGCCCTGCCCTGCTTACTAGTGTTAGTGTACGGTACCTAGGTAGTATAGGTGTGCCGTTCGCCGTCTCCATTCAAAGAGGGGCGTGGCGTTTCTCTCAACATTGTCTTCTGCCCGCTCTGAAAGTCGTGTGGCGAACCCTGTGTGAGCCGGGAAACCAGAGCATCCCTTCTCCCACCCCCATGCCTCTCTAGTGTACCTCTTCTCCGCGCTCTTTCTGTAGGTTTCACAGGGGGTGAAACAGGGGGTGAAACGGAATTCCGTTCGTCAATAACAAATAACAGTAAATTGGTTCTAATCGATGGTTCATGATTGTTGAAAGTGGTGTTGTTGACTAGAAGGTGGGGATATTCCCCCTTGGCCTGTCACGTGGGTCTGGGAGGCTTGGGCCTCTCAGCCTGGCGGGCGTGTGGCTGGAAGTGCCACACGACTCCGTATTCCAACTATCGCAACACTTTCTTTCGGAGCCTCAGGATGGGGGGGTCTTTTCTCGTTGTCTCCCCTTTTCCTGGGTTTCTGGGTTCCTGGATTTCTCGGGGGGTGCGTTGCAGCTAGGTTACCCCGTCCCAGCCCTCTTCTCAGAATTACTCGCCAATTCTTTTTTTTTTCTTTTCACCCTTAGTGTTCTAAAAACAAGCGTGAATTTGCAAGAGATAAAGTGCAAAGAAACGAAAATAACCGTTTTAGGAACTTTAAACAAAAAAATAATCAAGACAAATGACAAGAGATTTGTCATGCGCCACGCCCGCAAGACGACGCGAAACTATTAGCGGACCATTAATCGCAGGCAAACCTCGCCTATCCCGCTTTAGTAACAACGTCAAGAGATTTCCCCAGTCGTTTATTTTTTGACGTCCAACGGCGCAACAGTGTTCCCGGCGCACATGCACACATTCCGCGGCAACACCGCAACGCCGCAACGCCGCAACGCCTGGATGCCAGCACCGCGCTAAGGCAAGGGGGAGAGAGAGGAGAAGGCAAGGTAGGTCTTGATTTGTGTCCCCCAAAGCCCATCCAGCTCGTCTACCTTCTTCTCCCTCCCCTTGCCGGGCTACCTCCTCGCCTTACAGCGATCCCACGCACCAACCCTGGGACTGCGGAGCATGACTTGCCTGGTGCCCATGCCCACCCGCTTGCACATCATCTCGGTCATGAATCCAGAAGATATTGGCGTACCTCCGAGTGATACATGCGAGATACCTTAACTCTCGTATTTTCAGGGGTGGTTGTTCTAGACTACAAGCTTACCACCTTCAAAAATGCAGGGCATCCAGTGCTTCAAGGTACTTCCAGGGGACAAGGCCGTTCGTTCAATCCTGTAGACCCATAGAAAATGCCCTGTTTATCTAATTTGTGGTCCAAAAGGGCATGGAATGGAATAGATCTGCTGTGGGTTCGTTTCATGGACTCTTGAGGCTACCCGCCATGCCGGTACCCCACGAGAGAATGAAGTGCGAGGTTATCGGCAAAAAGTCGATTCGGTTGAAGAAAAAAATAATAATGTTACGTAAACTACAAGTTGTAAATGGCGAAGCGAACAGGATTTAACAAGAAAAAAAAAGGGGGGAAACATGGGAAAAATAAGGATCGTGTAGTGTGGTGAGAACAAAAATCAAAATACAACAGGTGATACAACAACCGGATAAAAAAAACAAAAAAAACAAAACAGACGTCATCGTTGATGTCGAACCGCGCGTGTATGCAGAATGCCTTTTCCTCTTCGTCGCTCGGTCCCCCTTTTTAATTCCATCCACGAGACGCCGCGCCGTATTATGCCACTCGCCTAACGCTTTTCTTACCGTGATGCCCTGGCTAGTAAACATAACAACGATTTCGTTCGAGGTCATATTTAATTCCAGAACATCCAGAGGCAAGCGCTGGGGAAACCTCCTAGCTGTGCAAAAAGAGAGATGACATCAATCGAGAAATCAGGTTGTACAAGAATAGGATAAGAAAAAAAAAAGGCCGTGTATTGCGTAGTTAGGTGTGTGTGCCCCCCAAGTCTAATGTGTGTTGTGTCATGATTCGAAAAAAAAAGGAACGGAGTCGGTCGAAGTTAAAAGTCAAATGTTGAGAAAAAAGAGGTATGAACAAGGTAACCCGTGGTGTTCGGGGGTATCTCTAGGATTAGGCGGATGGAGAATCCAGCAAAACAAAAGAACCGTGGCCTCTCAATCGTGATCGAGGATAGAGAACAGGCTGGAATTAGGGAGGCAGTACGGGCGTTTGATTTCTGGACCTCCCGTCTCAGAATGTGATGATGTCCTTCGGTGTTCGAAGGTGTGGAGCTGGCATCGGCCGTGGGACCCAACGTGCTCTGCTATTGTCGACAACCAAGCTGTTACAAGTAACGACGCAGAAACTATACTGTAGACTTATATCTTTTCTTTCCGACAGCCCGCGTTAAGGATCGAAACACGGCGTCCGGAACGGCGAGTCTGTACGCTCTGGTTGGGTTATGTCGTTCCAGGTCGCATGATGGAGATCATCGCTGTAGGCAAACTCCTCTTCATCACTGAAGTTGCTGCGTGTAGATTGTGTCTCCAGCCGGGGGCTCTGATACCCCTGGTGGAGACATTGAATGCTATAAGGGAGCACTGATTCCTTCTATCAGCTCCTGAGCGCGCTCGCGGCATGCCGCCGGGGTAAAGCCAGTTCCGACTTTGTTGGCTACAATGCGCCACTTTTCGTTCTCGTAGTCTTGAAGTGCAGTGCGAAGCTTTTGGTCCTATGCGGGGGAGATGAATTAGTAAATGTGCTGCCTCATCATCTTGTGACCAGGAGAGGAAAATTACATACCGTTTCCTCTGTCCATTGCGTGGTCTTTGCCTTCAACTTTGTGCAGTAGCGTACTTGTAAGGTTCCTGAAGATCTGCCGGGGAAAAAGTCGGCAATTTGCTTCCATGTAAGAGACTTGTTTTCCTTCAGATCGATCAGAAGCTGGTCGTCTTCAGGTGTAAACTTGAGTTTGGGGCCTCGTGGTCTTGGTGCCGGAGCGGGCATACCGGCTTGTCCCACCACGCTGGGAGCCCCGCCTCTGTCTCCGATGTCACCGTCGCGTCTCATCATCTTGGAAGGAGGGCTTGTGTCAGGAAGCCGGTGATGATGATGCGTAGGCTGTACTTGCTGCACTCCCGTTTGGCCGTAGGCAGACCCCAATGGCGTATGTTGCATGCTTTCGAGATCGGTTTGCTCCAGGTCCGGCATCCCAGGTAAAGATAGGTCGAGCTCATCAGGCCTGGATCTCTTGGGCGCTCCATGGGGTGTATGCGACTGGGTAGGCGTTGTCATGGAAGGGTAGAGAGGAGCAACGACGGGGCCCGGGGCACCGTAATGAGGCGGACCCAGATGCCGGGCGTGGCCCAGCTGGTGCCCCGGATCCATTAGTACATGATGGGAGTGGTGAGAGTGGTGGGAGTGATGTTGCGGCATGGCTGGATGGTGCGAATGATGACCTGGCGACGGGTCGTGGAGCGAAGGTGTATGGGCGGCACCATGATGAATGGAACTCCTATGGTGCTGATGGGAAGGCGTCGTGTCATACCCATGCTGTTGCTGACTCTGCTCGCCCGGATGCGACTCCTGTGCAGAGTAGTCGACATTGTAGTCCCCTACGCGATAGTTGCCCGCCAGCGTGCCTCCGACGCATGGGTTCCGCCAGAGCGAACCGCTCTGGACGGTCGCCGGACTCTGAAGGGAAAGAATTGGTTGAGCAAAGGCCCTCTCGGGGGGCGTCGGAAGAGGGGAGGGCTGTTGGTGCGACGTTGCGGGGTCGCGAGTGTGGTGGAAGTCTCTCGAACTGCGATCCTGCAACAACGCTATGGTGTCGCCGTGATGAGACCTCCCGTCCAGAGCCAGCGAACATTCGTGTGCGGGGGGTGTGGAGAGAATGGTCGCGGTTGGTAGCGGAATTTCGGGAGAGGTTTGCGTTGTAAATTTAAGAGATTGAAAGGTGGGTGCTGGTAGTTGCAGTGGTTGCAGTGGTTGTTGTTGTCGTTGATGAGGATGATGACAAGAGAAACTTGGAGGTAGAAGTACCGAGATGGTGTTGCCGTCTTGTAGGATTAGCCTCTTGGTGGAGAGCTGTCTGACTGCACGGCCAGACGGGTGAGTTCCCTTTGGTCGGCGTAAGGTGGGAAATAATGCTATTAAGACGAAATAAAAGTCGAGGTAACCATGCTACCCTTTTCAACTGGTCGTTGCCACGCGCTGTTTAAGCTCACGGGATCTTCCCTTGACTTATTATAAACCCCGTTGGCCCTGGACAGCTAATATAGTGATGAAGGGTCAAAAGAGAGAAAGCACCGACGTGGGCAAGGGCTGCATTATATCGTCCGATGTGCTTTATCGAAAAGAGGAATAGAGGGCTGTGTGTGGGCTCCAGTCTCTCTGGTCTGGGCTGGGGGTCTTGAGGCAAGGTAAGGGAAGGGGACCTGACAAGAGAGGAGTCTGAGTAGGTGAGAGGCAGCGAAGGAGGGCTAAGGGCATGCATGGGGGTGTGAGGTAAAAGAAAACAGGTACATCAACTACCGCCGCTTTTGTCCCCGGGTTCAAGCACACAAGCGATTTACCATGTGCGAGACATAATCTGTTCCTGAGAAGGTTGCGGAGACTCAAGTTAACCTTGCCCAGTGATGACGGTAGCATAATTTGGAGATCTTATGCCATGGGTTTCGCTGCCGGATATAGAAGCAGGAATGCCCCCCGGCCGGCTCTGATGATGCAACGAGCGAGGGGTGGACATGGCACCAGCTCACAACGGTTGACAGACAGGGCATCTGGGGTCTAGGGCAGAATAATTTCGCAGCTTTAAGAACCCCTCATATGATTTCGATCAAAATACTGGGAGGGCGGCTAGCGACCCAAAGAATAGAGAGGTCTGGAAAAAAAAAAAAAGCCATGAACGGAAATCCAAACACGTTCAGCCAAATGGGGGATAGAAGCTGAAACGCGCCCTGCCATGCGCTCGCTGGTTGGGAAGGCCATGGCAGGTGAACAATCCAGAAGGCCACCAGTGTCCCTTGACGCCCCTGCTTTACTGGGGACTGCGAGAAGAGGAGAAGGGGAGGAAGGGGAAAAAAAAGTACCAGGATTGGCAGCTCTTGGCTCAAGGCAGTTGACTTGGTGTGTGGGTGTGCGCGTGTGCGGGAGCTGGAGTCCCTGGACCCCCACCCCCTGGCCGTGGTTGACGGGGATGTATTCTTTGGGCGAGGGAGGAGCAGTGAACAGCACAACTTGGACAGCTGTGCCAATTCTGGCCAGTACAGTGGAGCCAGTTGGGAGCAAGTAGCAGGTTTTGGAAAAGGTAAATGGCTGGGTGAGCACTGAGAAGTCATGCCTTGGTCGTGAAGGGGGTATATCTGAAGCAGGGAGGGTATAACCGAACCACGAAGAGAAATCGCCGCCGTGGACCGCGATAGGGCCAGTAAGCTGGTAAGGTTACAACAGCCACTCGACTTTAGTGGGCAGATTGCCGAAAGGGTGAAAACAAGGGACTGCCGGTTGGGAAAGGAGAAGGAAAACCACCGCCGGCTTACAAGGCCGGGCCTGACAGACTAAACAGTGTCAAGTCGACCCCGTGCTTTTCTCTGACCCTGATCTCCAGTACAGTAGGTGGCAGTGATGGTCTGCTCCCACCCCTCAGACCCCAAGCCAGAGACTCGGGATCGCTTCGGAAGAGAACACCTGTGGTCCCAGGAGGCAAGCGACCCCAGTTGACACAAGATGAGAAACATCGTGATTGCCGGTCTTCGCCTCCGGGGCGATGCGTTCGAATCTGGCAGGTCCGGCTGGCAGATGATCCGATGAGATGCTGAACCATGAACAATACGGCCACGAATGGAAATGGCCGAGATGAAGATGGCCGCGGTGCCACGGTTGAGATTTTGGTTCGGCAATGCGGCGGCGGCGGCGGGTGTTGAACGAGATGGGATGGAGGGTCGACAAGACAAGAGTAGCTAGCCTGTGGGGTAAACACCTTTTTTTTTTTTTTTTTTTGAGGAATTGGGGACTTGGGACGTATTCGACTGGAAGACCAGGCCGCACGATGGTGCTGTCGTCGAAACAATGGGATGATAGCCGTTCGATTGATTTAACTATTCGTCTGTTTGCATAGGAGCGCGCGCGCGCTCTGCCGCCAACGCGCGTGTAGCATATTCAAACGACTTGCTCATTCTTTTTCCTCACGAACTTGATGACAACCTAAGGCTGCCACACTTCAAAAGCCCACGTGTGGGCTCGCGTGGTCTGCATCCACACGCTCAAGCTGATGAACAGACGGAAATGTGGTGGTCATATCCGTAGGTAGCAAAAAAGAGCACCGGCATTATTCGGCAGTTGGGAAATTGTGCGACTCGATGCATCTCGCGCCAGGCTCTTGGAGCTCGAGGCAAAACGGCCATTCAATACGTCGCTGGTCATCCTTCGCCTGAGCGAACTTGCAGTACAGTTTGGTACCTGAGCCAAGACAGCATTCAGCAAGGAAAATTAGCTCGTCTCGACGAGGGGAGGGCCGAGCCAGTAGCAAGGGCGCTTGGACAAGAAAGGCTGGGACGAAAGACGAAGAGGAGGCGCGAGAAGTTAGGGCACTTGGACTTGGCGCGGTGGAGGGCTGCGGCAGAGATGGTGTGGTGGTTTGGAGGTACTGCTGTGGTTCCTGATCGGTTGTTGCTGGGCAAGTTGCCGGGCATGTTGACTTTGTCGAGACATGATGGATCATGGGAGGGGGGAACTTTGATGCTGGAGCAGGGGTTAGACGGGTATCGCATGAAGGAAACGCGTTTCACACATACCTGGCAATTAAAAGATCAATTATGCGACCCAGGGATCCCGGGCAATCTTTCTAGAAGGAGTGGGACTCCATTCTAGCGCCTGATCACCTTATTTCTTCGTCGAAGTTGGGGTCCTTTTTCGGATTTGGGGGCTCACCTCGGGGACTGTCTGCATGGAGAGACTGAGCCACGAATCAGAAGGCTAGGCTCTACTAACATCGGTCGAGTCTGTGGGTACGGAGATAATGAGCCTGTAGACATGGGGATGATGATCAGACGTGGGTGAGGGTTTGGGAGGTTTAAAGTGGACGACCACAACGACGGTGGCGGTTGTGGTGGTGGTGGTGGTGGAGATCCGCGGCTGCGAGGCAGGTAACCAGACCGGACCAGAGAATACCGAACAAGATCAAAGAAAAGGTTTCGGCCGTGGGTGCCGGGATTGCAAATGCGAGATGAGGGTGACCAGGAAGGAAAAAACAAGAAAAAAAAAGAAAAACCAGAAGAGGTGTCGTATAACAATGGCTACGGAGAAGGAGATTGCAAATTTGGAAGAATCGAGACGGGAATATGCGATGAATGCAGGCTCAGATTGCAGCAATTTGTTCCTTCTGCTCAGGTCGAGGTCGTCACCAATTCAGATTAGTCGCGCTGGCCTCGAAACCCAATAGTAGTAGCCTTCTCTCAAGTCATGTCTAAGTCGCCAGGGCGGCAAAGTAAAGGTGAGGTGGTACATAGTGCTTCGTACCTTGGGCTGATTTTGTGGCACAGAAGTGTCTCATCTTTTGGTCGGCTTCTAGGTTCCTTGGGGTGTGCTTTTTCAAATCATGCCGCCGCGCGTTAAAGATTGCTGGTGGTGCCTTCCAAAGGGAGAAGCCCAAAGTTGGCCAGGCACACAGTCCGCATTGAGAGCCAAGCCTCAAGGCTGCAGGTAAGGTACGCAGGAAGGTCCGCCACACTCCGTGGTAAGTACTCCGTCAGGTACGAAGTATTCGCAAGGAGAGCCAGGAAGGAAGGGTCAAATGCGATGGTTTGACAGATGGGTCCAGACAAGGCTCCGCAAGAGCCCTGCAACTGTACCTACCTAGATGGGGCCTTATCCACTACACCGCTGGCTTACAAACAGGCCTACCAACAGAAAGAGCAGTGTAAACGACAACAGCAACAGCAACAGCAACAGCGACGGCAACAGCAGTAGCGAAACGGAACAAGACTCATGATCCACCCAGTCCCACTCCAATGTGGACGACACCTTCCCTTTTGTCACACTTTTTTCCTTGACGTTTTTTTTCTTTTCTTCTTTCTCTTTCCTTCCCCCTACGGATACGGATACTATTAGGCGAGTTCTTCCTGGAGACCACGATATACGTCATCAGCATTTCCCTTCAGTTCGTCGGGTTGTTGTACGTCGCCGTCCGGCATCATCAGGGGAGGGCACAGCAGCGGCAGGCAGTGCCCGGTGCCCGCTCATCCCTTGATGTGCGCTGCTGCGGCCAGATTCAGGTAGGGCAAGGCTAGAAAGTGACAGGGTAAGTGGCAGATAAGCTACTAGTGTACGGTTAGTAAAGCGAGAACGCTGTCAGCTCCTGCCTTCCTACCCTGCATATGCTGCGCAAAATGCCAGGTACCAGATGCAAGAATGCGTGAAGACGACGCCAATGGTGGTTCCTTCCCGTTCGGCACTAAGCCGATGTTGGGTAGTCAGCCAAGGAAATCCTACTACGTAGTAAGACAACTTGTAGTTGTCCTCATTTCATCTTGCTACGGGGTAAACCAGGGCGCCGCTAGGACTGGCATGGCATTCTCCCCTTCACCACTATCGTTTGTTGTGCATATGACAGATACACTAGCCAAGGCCCATATGCGCTCTCTTTTAATGGCAAGTCTTTGGCCCAGTAGTTTGTTTTCATCATCCTCGTCTCCCGCAGTAAAATATATTGGTTATTGCCAATAGTCGATCTGCTTAATTACTGTGATCTGCCAAGATCTGCCAGATATTGCTCTACCTTAATCTGCCGCCTCAATGAGACTGGCTTTGACTAACGGTCAGATAATGTTACGGACGCATGCCTTGACGGGACAGATGCTACATGCACGGCGTGGCTCGCCATTCGGCTTCCCGGCCTGAGGTATCCGTGTATCCGTAGGATAGAGGCAGTATCCAAAGATGGATCGTCGCTCTCACAATAGGTGCCAGAGGTATACCCTGCACTCACCCAGCGCTCTAGACTTTCCGCGGCTTCCTAGGATTGCGAAGCGGCACGCCGTTCTCGCGTTGATGTGCGCTTTACACTTTTGCGCTTTTCTCAATCTCCTAGGATCATCCTTTCAGCTTCGTCAGAAGGCCTGAACTTGCCGCAAAACCTTCTTCGAGCCCGTGAGGCCGGACCTTGAGTTCACACCAGATGACAGCCGCTGCTGTACCCGTACATAGAATTTCGACTGCTCCTCCCAGGTCACCCGTTGTCGTCTCTGGTCTCACTTCAGGAACGGCTTGTCTGCACCGGGTTAGAGCCGAAAGCTTGCCCGTACTTCGAATGGGGGGGTATCGTACGATCAAACTTTTTCTGAGGTAGCAGTGGTGCCCCTGCCACGCCCTGCGCGCCCTCATGGGGGCCTGTTGCGCCGCAGGCCCAAAGCTTGACGACCCTCTGAGCTCTTGGCGGTTTGGGGGCAGTCGGCTAGCGGATGTAGCCTGCCACCTACATTCTACTCCCTATCACCCTTGATGACGGAGGGCCCCCCGCCCCGGCAAATTGCAACCGCCGGTTTCCTACTGTAGCGCCTGTGCCACACAGCACAGAACGCTACTCAAATCCACCTTGTCTCACAGGGCAGGTCTTACAGCCTTTTTTCCCAGGGGTTCCCATCCCCCGGGTT